TGGCTGAGCATGAGCTTTTGAAGCTGAGGACAAGGACGGGAGCTACTCACTCTATAGGACTACAAAGGAAAGAGGGTCAGCAGGCAAAGTCATTAAGCCCTTGGCTTCAGGACACCCAGTATGCCAATGACCCACCCCGTTTCCTGTAGTCTTTGCTCATTGATCCTAGACCTTGTGGAATAAGAGCATTTAAACGTAATTTTGGGGACAACATTGATAAAACACAGTTCCCTTAGACCACCTGCAAGGTGTGGGAATAGCTTATGGTGCACAACCCTCTTGTACGGGCAAGACTAGGTCCCAGCTCCCCCCTGCTTTCCTCTTTCCTGGACGTTACCTCTTTGTGGTTGACGCAGAGTAACAACATAGGGTTCTCCATGGGCAGAAGGAGAACTTCTATTTTAGAAAGTGTTCTCTCCATTTCATTCCTCACTCTGTTTAAGGTGGTGTTGACAATACATCCATTTTTGTTATGAAACAGTGATAGAAGTCATTTCTAGGCACCCGTCCTAAGTCAGTGCCTGCATTTATCACTGTGTCCCCTTGTTAAGTGGCTGAACGGCTCACGCTATGATTCTCTCTCTCTCTGGGGTCTTATACATCCCGATGTCACCTGTAGCATCAAATGGGCTTCTCCTCAACATGAGCTGTGACTTTGGGGGTGTCTTTCTCACTTCTGTCACTGAGCTTCTGGCCCCTTCCCACCCACCCTCTGATGCCTATCCTGCCTCTAAGAAAAGGAACAGAAGGAGACTCAGGAACCACAGCTGCCGTCAGCTCAGAGGAACTATATTTCAGGAGAATGGAAAGCACCCTGCATACTCATGCCCCACATTGTAAAGGAGGAACCTGGGCTTCCTGGCTTGGAACGGGAGACAAACGCAGGGAAGACTCACACCACGAAGACCATTGCTCCTTCCCAAGCACATTTTAAGTCAAGAAAATATGTCACCCTCAACATGTCCACAGGCCAGGGCAAATGCCTTTAGGATTGGGAAGCAGACTTGCAGATGCTGGGATTCTGGAGACCAGAGTCTAAGGTCCAGGTAACGTTGATGAGATCCAGGTAGGGCAGAGATGCTGAGATCCAGGTGGGTCAGGGCTGTATTCCCTCCAGAGTCTCCAAGGGAGGGGCCTTCTTGCCTCTTCCAGCTTCTGGGGTTCTAGGCATCCCTGGGCCTGGGGCCACGTCCCTCCCATCTCCGCCTTCATTGTCACATGGCTTCTCCTCTGTGTCTGTGTCTCTTCTCCTCTGTCCCTTGTAAGGACACCTGTCATTGGATTTAATACCGCCTTAATCAAGAATGACATCATCTTTTACTAATTACAACTGCGTAGACCCTATTTCCAAAGAAGGTCCCACTGCAAGGTTCCGACTGGTTACAATTTTGGGGGAGACACCATTCAATCCTATGCAACATGAAACAATGATTTTGGAGTCATTGGAGTTCATGCAACATAGGACAGTGACCCCAAGAAATGGGAAGCAGGCAGGCGAGTGCTGTGGCTGCCCTAGCTGAAGACTTGGGAGAATTTCCAGGCATGACTTAGGGAAGGGGACCCAAGTGGGGACCAGGCAAAGCCCCTGATTTGAGACCATGGGAGAAAGAACTAATGGCCTATAAGTAGAAGAAGGTGAGAGACTGTGAGTCAAGGGAGTGGGGAGGGGAGAGATAAACAGGAAAGAGAACCCATAGATCCAAAGAGGGTCCCCTGCAGTTTTCAGCAGAAATGACAGGGGGCCAGGAGCCCAGGGGGCCTAAGGATAAGAGGGGGAGGCAAGGGTCTGAGGGACAGGAGGAGAATGAGAAGCAAAATGTGTGGGTCTGCCGGAAATGCCCATCGTCTGGAAAATGGAGCTGCCTTTACAAGCAAACATACACAACAGGATGTGTTCAAGTATTTACTTTTAATGTGTGTGGTTTATTGGTGCCATCCCACGTCATAAAATTTGCCACACAGTGAAACAGAGTTTCTCCATCTGAATTGAATGGACCCTCACCATGCATTGCAGAAAGGAGGAATAGTCTCCCATTTACCAATGAAGAGACTAAGGGTCAGGGTGGGTCCCTCATTTGTGAAGATCTTCACTGGGGGACTGAGGCTTAATTAACGAAGTGGCCAGAAGCTACATGCTTCATGCTACATGCTCCCACTGTCCTAAACTGTCCTAATCTCTATTCCCTTCACCTTCCCTCCCAGCTGACTTCTCACCACCACCATCATCACCATCTTCACCATGACCATCACTATCACCATCTTCATTTTCACTATCACCATCTTCACCATCACCACCATCACCACCATCTCCATCCCCACCACCATCATTATCATTGGTAGATGGATTCTTTAGCAAGTCTGCTTGATGAACTAACTTATTTTTCTTTTCAGAGAAAGGAGGCCTGGGTATTCCCCTTAATTTCTTGTCCCACATCCTTCATGCCACAGTTGGAAGAGGAGGCCATGAACAGCAGTAGAGAGTCCAGAAGTGAGTCATTGACTGGCACACTACCAGAGACAAAGACACCTGCCAAGTGTCCACCTGCACATCTAGGCACAAATGAGCTCTTCAGAGTGAATGACAGGCGCTGACTTTCCAGCAATACCACCCTTGGTGTCCTGCCACCAGGCCCTTGGGTACATCCCACCCAGGACAACCATCTGGCTGGAATGACAATGTGGAGGAGGGATGCAGCTATAGGGAACACTTTAACCTTTTCTTCTCTAGGAGTTCCTAGAAGACCATGGTGTGCAAATCTACTTCCACATTAAATTCTCAGAATGTGACCTACAGCAAAGGCTAAACTTAACCTTTAACAAAAGTTAAAACCTGTTGCGTCAGTTAAAAATCCAAGTCCCAAATAAAGAAAGAAGAAGAGAATAGTACATTTTGTTATACTGTTATACTTGCAGAGAGGCAAATTTCCAGCGGTCTAGTATGTGCGTGGCCACTGTTGACCTTGGCCTCCAGTTCCCCTGTTTGGTCTCTGTGCTCTCCCCAGGCAGTCCTACAGGACCTTTGTGAGCCACCTCAAGGCAGACATGGTCCCTTTACTCTTCTTCTCCTTCTCCACATCCTGGTGGGAGCTCCAAGCAGATCAAAAAGGCCAAGGCAAAAGCACTTGAAGCAAAGATGGAACAAAGGGGTCCCAAGAAACATCACGCTGTCATTCCTTCAGACCAGTCAGCACTTGTTAATCTTTTTCTGTGTGTGTCATGCCCAGCCAGACATGGTGGCCTTCATGACAGTGAAGAGGTATCATGTCGGGGTCCTTGAGAATCTACACAGGTACTGTGATTCAGTAGAAGGACTCACAGAATTCTGCAAAGCTCTTACTCCCATGGCTCTGGTTTAATACAACAAAAAGATACAGATGAACATCAGGAAGACCTACAGGTGCATGGGGCACAGTCCAAGAGAGATGAGGTCTGAGCTCTTCCAGATGTCCTCTCCCCATGGACTTGTGGATGTTACTTATGTCTTCCAGTGACCATGTATGACAACATGCATGAGGCAGTACCAACCAGGAATGTTCACCAAGCCTTGATGTCCAGGCATTTTCTTAGGGTCAGTCACATAGCATGGAGTGTCCACATGGCTGAGCTGAGTCTTTCCATCACCAGCCCCTCCAAAATGCTGGCTATGGCATGACCCCAAGCCCCATCCTAAATCACATCATAGCATAAAACCCATGTTGTGGCTCCAGGCAAACAAGGACACTCATCAGACAGGACATTTCATGGGTTCATAGGTGAACTTCTAGGAGCTGATCAAGGGCTAGACCTTAACCTGGAAGGGGCAGGTGTAGACAATCCAGGCCTGCTGAGTTAAATCTCTACCACGGAGGTGTGTTGTGAGATTTTTCAAGCTTCAGAGACTCAAATTGTGTAAGAGTCTAGAACATGGCATCTCTTCCCCTGGCTACATGCCCTTTGCCAGCTTCTTCTATTTCTCCAACTCAGATGAGACACCACCATTCCCGCACCTTTTCAGTCCTCAAGCTGTGCTGAGCGTGGGTACCTGCAGTTCCTTCCTCAGCTCTGTCCTGGCCATTGTGCGTTCGTCATGCTGCTCACAGTGGTCTCCCCTTTTGGTGCTGCTTCTGCTCCTAGGTTTCCAGGAACGCTAATGAGGGAGGGTTCTCTGGTGATCACATTAACGGTGTCATTGGGAGAGATGCACCTAACCAGAGCTGGCTCATCCCACTCAACGAGAGCTGACAGGTGACCTTCCTGTCCAGCCCCCATCCATGCATCTCTACCCAAGACATGATGCCCCCCACTCCCTGAGATGCTCCATTGACCATGAGTACCATTATCTCAGTGGGCATTAGCATGTATTCCATGGTTCAGATGAAATACTTCCCACTCTCAAGCCCACTATGGTTCATCTCCTCATCCAAATGCCCCATGCTGGGAAATCCAGCCCCCATGGCCCTTCTACTCAGCCTTGTCTTGCCATGAGCTGCAAACCTGCTCCCTACCCACTTCACTAGGTTCTAATCAATAAAGGGGCCCAATAAAGCTCTGATGAATTCAATGGCACAGAAGTGGCCCCATGCCAAAAGCCAGCAAGCTCATAGCATCCTAGGAAGACTCAATGAGCCACCTGGTTAAACCTTGAGAAGATGAGGTTCTCCACATCAATGCTGAAGGGGAGTGGTTCCTTCAGGAAGGGGGAGCCATGGACACATCGCCTGCCTAGCCGACTTTCATTGGCTGACATCTTGTCTGTGTTCTTCATAGACAGTGGCAGCCCATATCTCAACACCTCTCCTCTTGCTCTCGGCTTTGCTCAGCATATCCCAGCCAGCACGAGGGCTATGTGTGGGGGTGTGCACGAGTGTGTGGGTGTCACCCCCATGATCCACTCTCTTCTGGGAGCTGAGAAGCTGATGGGCTCATTCACCGTCCACAGGTTTCTCAAGTGTGTGTAATGAGAAAACATCACAGGAAGGGGGAGGGCGCTAAGGAGAAAAGGGAAGTCTAGGGTTGAAATGTCTTGACAAGGCAATCACTGTGCTCACTTTGTGACCAGGCAGAGAGCTGTCCAAGACGACAGCCAGATGTCGGAGCGCCGGGAAAGCGAGAAAGAAAACAGGTGGCCAGAGCAGAGCCCGGTGCGGTGGGGTAAGGCAGCTCCCTTCATTCTCTGACTCTCAAATGTGCCTTGACTCGGGTAGCTATTTCTGCTCCCGTTGCTTCTGCTGACAGTTCATGCTGCAGATCAAGGAGCACCTCAGGGTGGGAAGTGGGAATCTCTGAATGAAGCCACCCAACAGGGAGGTAGGCACTGAGCTCATGGGCACTGCATTGAAAGGTCTGAATTAGCCCCAGGGATTAGCCAGCTTGCCCTGGGAGCAGGCTGAGCCCCTCTCGCAAGTCTGTGTATGTGAATATTAGAAGCCACTTTGGAATTACTACAGAGGCTTGGATGCATGCGGTCATCCACACGGGGAACCAGTGGTCCCTGGATCCTAGGGAGACACTTTGCTGGCAGTCACTTATATCAGATCCCCCGGCCACCAAGTGCAGAGCTGCTGGCCAACCTGGGGGACAGGTGTCTTTGAGGACCACAGCCTTCCCTTCCCTGTGTTGTCTGAGCATGACGACTGATTGCATTTCCCCCAAACGGCAGGGATCTCAACATCCAAGCTCATCCGAGGGACTACCGTAGATCAGCAGCACCTGCATGGCCCTGGGTCTTTGATCTGACCTAGTCTGACAGATGGAGCCAGTGTCTCTGTAGAACTTTAGGTCTATAGAAAGGGGAAGAAAACCCGGTCTGGGGAAAACTGAAAGGAGAAGGGAAAGTGGGTAGTCTGTGGACAAAAAAATAGCCAAGTAACATCTCAGTTTTCAGTCCTATGAAACAAAACCCCAGGCAAATCTACAGAGCAGGAGGGAAGAAAGGGGACTGTTGGCTTCATGGAGGTGGGGGTCCTCTTTTGCGGGGGAATGAGAATGACCCGGTTCAGGAAAAGGTGCTGGTTGAGCATTCTGGATCCGTTGCATTTTGAGTTGTACATTTCAAGGGATGAGCTCTATACTGTGAATTTCACCTCCGTTTTTAAAAATCAAGGCAAAAAATTAGGTAAAGGGACCATGAGAGTCCCCTGAACCTCACTTTCTTACCCACTTGCATGAGGATACTAGGAATGGCCTCCTAGGACGAGTGTGAGGGAGAAACTAGGAGCCAAGTGGAATGTGCCTACGTGTGGTCGGCCCAGGCTGTGGAGAAATCACAACACTGATTACTTCACGCTGTGGCTGAATTATCCACTGTTGGCCAAGAGCCCCACGTTGTGACTAACCATCTAATTAAAACAGCAACCCTTGCTAGATCATCTTGCACGGTGCTCTTGGGTATGTGATAATGTCACTATTTGGGTTTTATTAGGGGTTGTTTTTTTTCTTAGGTCAAGTTTACTGAAGTTTATGGTTTTGGTCCATCATGATGAGAGGCGAGCGGAGTTCAGTTTAGAGGAAGCGGAATGGGGAACTGTCCAGCTAAGGGCGTATTTCCATGCAGATTCCTTCTGATGGGGGGATGGGTTGTGCATCTGTAGGCACCTACTTTATGTACAGCCCCAAAGCTGATGCTGTGGGAGGCTTGAAAAAGGTGGAGGAAAGCAGATTCCAGAAGCTTACCAGGGATGAATGGGATGGGGACCCTCCCTGCCTTGCTGTACTGTACCACCCTCTCCTAATTAAGGGTGGCTCTGCTCAATGATTGCAGATGTGAAAAGCAGGGCAGAGACAAGACAGGAATAGCAAAGGGGAATGGTAGAGCCAGCCCAGAGGGAGGAAGGGTCTTCCCCAGGATCCTCTTGGGTGCATCACAGAGGCCCCCCAACCCCATGCCAAGAGCCCTGGACAAGAAGGGCTGGGTGGAGCAGGGTTTAGCTTGCAGATGGAGGAAGCCGGGAACTTCCCCCATAGCACTGGAGTATAAGGTGTGTGGGAGGCAAGGACATTGGGGAAGGTCTGGTGCATGGTTTTTATTTCCTCTTTTAGAGCAAGGGTGGTGCTCTAGGAGGGAGTGGGCTTGGGGAGGTTAGGAGGCAGGAACCCAAGGCTGTGTGCCGCTCCCCAGGGGGCACTCTGGCACAGGTGCGCACACCTGGCTTGGGGAGCTGGCTGGACTCTGCATCACTGGGTTCCAGCCTGGAAAGCTGGTGCAGGGACAGGGGAGAAGGGGCTGTAGCTTCTGGACAAGCCAGCTGACCCTCAATAGACAGGGAATTCATCACAGCAAAGGGTGGGTGGGAAAGGAGGCAGAGGTGAGGAAATGGAGAGAATGAGCCTCACAGCTCCGAGGTCTGTAGGGGCAAGGATCAGTAAGGTAAGGGATCCTATAGGTCCTACAGAGGGCAGACGAGCCCCCTGCGCGGGGCTGGACATCAAGGAAGGGAGGTGCCTAAATGTGCTGAACTAGCCGCGTGCGGGAGGGAGATGCTGGGTCCTGGCGGGAGCCGAGCTTCGGGGGAGTCTGGGGGAAGAAGAAGAGAGTCTGTGAAGACGGGTGCCAGCTTGGAGGTGAGGACATGCAGGTCCACAGGGTGGGTGTTGGGGGTGTGATGGCTGGATCTCCATAAAGGAGACACTGGAAAGAATGAAATAGAGAAAGAATTGGTGATAGAGATGTCTAAGAGGGAGGAGGAGGGGAGGAGAAGGGGGCAGAGAAGGAAGGGAGAAGGAAGAAGGGAAGGGAAGAAGGAAGGAAAATAGAAAGCAGGGAAGAGAAACCGGAAGGAAAGAAGGAAAGAGGGAAGAAATTTGTGGTCGTTTGTTTGGTCGGCCCCCAGGAAGGTAATACACCGAGAGCAAAGAGACCTTAGTGTTGAGACCGATTGACTTTATAAACCCAAGGACATGACAGAGAGCATGACTGTGCACGGTCAAAGAAGGGAGGAAGGATTCTTCAAGAGAAGAGAAGGCTTTGAAGGGATGAAGTCACGGGGAACACAGAGAGATGAACAGCAGAGACAGTCGGCGGCTGAGAGGAAGAGAAGTATGTAGAGATGGAAGGCCCCATGACAGATCACAACAACAACAACCACCGAAGAGCAAACACCAGCAAAAATCCCACCAGGGCAATGGTGGGCAGAGCCCAAGATGCCATCCCAAACCCACGAAGACCATCAGATGTTTTCTGTCGAGTCCAGCTGTACGCGAACAGAGCCCTTTGCTTTTGTACTTATGTGTTGAAAACGTTTTTAATAGCCTTTTTTTTTGCCTTTTTTTTTGCCTTTTTTTTTTTTTTTTTAAGAGCCGTTTTAGATTTACAGAAAAATTTAAGTGGGAAGTACAGGGGATTCCTACGTATGTGCTTCCCCGTTCACCAGTCTCCACACTTATTAATACTGGGCATCAGTGGGGCACATCCGACATCACCAATGGGCCAATATTGATCCACTATTATTGGTTAAAGCCCACAGTTTACATTAGAGTCACTCTTGGTGTGCAACGTTCTATGGGTTTGGACAGAGATAGAGTGACATACACTCATCATCATAGAAATATACAGAGTAGTTTCACTGCCCTAAAAAATCCCCTGTGCCCTGCCTGCTCATCTGTCCCTCCTCCAAACCCTGGTGACAACTGATTTTTTTTTTTTCTGTCAACATATTTTTTCCTTTTCCAGAATGTTGTAAAATAGGAACCTTCCCAGATGCAGCATTTCAGACTGGCCTCTTTCACTTAGCAAATGTATTTTAACATCCCCTATGCCCCTCAGTGCACTTACTCCTTTTTATTTTCCTCTTTTCTTTTTTTTTTTTAACGTATCATTTTTGATTCTTGCGAAACTCAAGTTTTTAAAAAAAGAGGAAAAAAATGTCAAAAAAAAAAAAAAAAGCTGTTATTACCATCATGGAAACTGAGCTTTCATTCCTTTTTCTCCCCCCAAAAATCCATTCTAAAAACCTTTGGAGCATGTGTCAACCATACTCACATTAAAATTTCTTAAATAAAAATGTAAAAATTTTAATTATACGAACAAAATAAAAGAGAGTCAGAACATGAGAAAATAATCAGAGTGGGTGTAATATTCCCCAAAAAGCATCTTAAAGTCACTGTTACATGTCTGCCGTGGCTTCAAGGCTCATCTGAATCATGAGCCAAGCTTGATAGAAGACAGACGGGCTGGTTTGTAGGGTAGAATTGCAGGGCAGCAATAGTATATCTCCACATTGTAGGAGATCTTTTTGCAAACCATCCCTCTCAGGACACTGATCCTGGAGAAAAGAGAAGTCAGCAGTGGGTTCCTGTTTTGGACCTCTTGTGGGCTCTGGTGTAGGTGGACAGCCCCGGAGGACCTAGAATCCCAGTCGCTGACAAATGAAGGCTTAACCTGGGGAAGGGCTTGGTGAGCTTGTGCTCCACCCCTGACCCTGGCTAGAGAGGGAGGGACATGTCCAGGAGGCCAGGTGTGTGGTGCCAGAGCCTGATTCACAGGTCCAGCAGCCTGGGAACAACCCTGCCTGACTGTCTCCACTGTTCTTTTGTGGACAATATGTTCATAAAGGGGCTGCCGATCCTAGACTTGGCCATACATCTTAGGGAGTGATCTTGGTACCTGTGGTAGATGGGCTAATGTCCCCAGAGATGTCCATATCCTGATCCCTGTGTGGTGGACAGAATCACGGCCCCAGAGACATCCATGTCCTCCCCCAGGTTATAGACAGGAATGAAGCCACAGCTTGTGGGCAATTTGCCCCAGTGGCACAGAGTACGACGGGGTGGATTGGAGCCTCGTGTCCATGCGGAAGGACAGGCCCTTGGTTCTGCCCCCACCCTGAAGCTGGTTGTAACCTATAGACCCTCTGCAGCCAGCAGTGACCCCCAGCTGGCCAGGTCAGTAGACTGACCATCAGGCTGGGGATAGTCCTGCACTCCCCAAGGAAACCTCAGTGGGGCCCCCTTGCCAAGAATCCCCATGAGAGCTGATTTCCTCAAAGTGTGACTATTTGTCCCTGAAGGTTTTCCTCACCCTTTGGGCAACCCCATGCGACTCCTGGCCATAACCATCCTGTTCTTCATGCTGCTGGACCCAGTGTTCCTCCAGACTCTGGAGCAGCAGGGTAAGTGTGTGAACCTGTTTGACCCTTCTCTGCCTGTCTCATTCCTACATCCCGTGTGTCTTGGGGACACATCCTGATGCCTGAGTCCAATCACATTTCATCTTTGTACTCATTGGTCAGCCAAGTGGCACAATCCAGGGTCACCAGAAGCTAAAGTGTTTTCTTGCTCATGCTCTCAAAGCCCCTTCCTGCTCCAGGCTTATGACGAGGTCATCCACCCTAGATGCAAACTGTAGGTCATCAGCCCCAGGTCTGAGCAACGGACATGGAGGGTCTCGCCCTGGCAGGGACTAGTAAACATCTTGACTTAAACAGGTGGACAGAGGATACAAGGTGAGGCCACACACACTCAAGTCCCACCCCTTGTCAAAGGCAACGTCAACTGACCAGTAGCATAGAGGCCACGTGGCTGAGAGTTTCAGTAGACAAATGGACAATGGGCAGAGCATCCTTAAGAAAAGAACTCTGGCCCATGACCTGCAGCAACCTGTCCCAAGGGACCAGCCCTCGTCTATGGGGACCAGCCTGCAGAGCCAGCCTGCTGTCTGCACGTTAGATGTGCAAAAAGCCAGATGTCCATCCCCATGACAACCCAAGGAGCTAAATGATTCCTTCTGGAACAACAGGCCCCCAGTGACCAGCACTTGATCAGTAACCAATGGCTTCCCTACGTTTTGACCCCAGTTCCTATATAGGACCAACTAGAGAAAGCCAGATATGGTCCCCTAACCAGTCCCATGGGATGACCTACTTGTAGTGAGCCACCTGCATCCCCACACCCACAGCCTCTGCTCAGGACACAGCTGAATATTCCCTTTTGCCCACTGTGAAACTTGCCCACTCCCCTGTCTCCCCTTGGTCTCTGACAAATGCCAGTGGTGGTGGCCAACTTCCTCACATGGCAGGCTCTGAGTAAACAGACTCTGTTACTCTCACTTGGTAGGTCTTGGCTTACTGGCATGATAAGCATCTTAACATGGAGAAAAGGCATGGAGGTCCAGGTAGGAAGAAGAGATCCATCAGGGGGAGATTCCATGCATGTGTCAATGCCCTGGGGCCACCTGTGTGGATAGGGGAAAGGACACCATGTCCCAGTCTTGATCTTTGCTTACAAGACGTGGGATGGGTCAGCAGGCAGTGGGTAGAGCCAGGAAAAGTGTAATTTCTGAAACTGGTGGTCCTTTCTTTCAGATATTCCAACTGCGGAAAAGGTCCCCCATCTAAATATGAAGTTTGATTCTTGGAGAATGAAACTGAGTTGGGACTGTGAAGAAAACACTACCTACCTCGAATGTGTGATGATTCACAAGAAGAATGGACCAATCAACATAATAGTAAGACAGATTCGTTATGGACGATTGCTGTCCTTTACAAACCTCTTGTCACATTAGAAACAAGGCAGCAACTGGTGGAAACAGAGAGCATGTGTGTGACCCTGAGACACATCTAGGAGACATGATTCTGGGTGCACAAGGAAAGTTAAGTTCTGGCCTGTGTCCAAGAGGTGCACCCTGATTCCCCGGGGGACTGAGGAACTCCTTGGAAAATGTCTTATCCCAAAAGGGAAGGGTGTTCAGGGCTCCCAGGTGAGGAGCTCCAGCCCAAAACTCCTATGAGGTTAGCCCTGGTACAGGCTGCAGGGCGGGACCCTCAGGGATGCCCAACCATCCAAGGAAGATGAAATGAGGCAGGCTTGTGGAATGGGGCTCCAGTGCAATACAGGTAGATTGCAATCGGGCACACAAATGCTCCCAGAATTTCCAGTGGTCACTTTCAGGGAGATGAAATAGCCAATGACAGTAATCAGGGGGAAGACAAATGGCTTATTCTGTGACTTTCAGTCTTCTGTACCCCTTCAAGGGGTGTTGCTTAGGGGCTCTGCCCTCCTACCAACAGAAACAGCAGACTTTTGCTCGATTGGTTCATCAAAAACCATCCATGTGGCCGACTTAATCCTGGGAAAGAAATAGTTGGTCACCCGTGATCCAAGAAAACAAAGTTACTGAATAGATACGATGAAAACAAATAGATACATGAAATAGATGATACATGATACAATAGATGATACAAATAGATACATGAAATGAAAACAAATAGATACATGAAAAGAAACTGAATAGATACAATGTAAACATGAAGGCTGTGGGAGAAAGGGGTATGAGATAAGACAAGAAAATGGAAAAACATAAAAGAGTGTGCGTTAAGCTCCACGATGCTTAAAGTGATGAGAGATCTCGATGCTCAGAGCAGCGGTCCTCAGGTTAGCCTCACCCGAGAGCTTTGTTACAAATGCAGAATCCCCTACCTACAAAGTGCTGAACCAGAATCATTTTGACAAGATCCCCGGGGACTGAGGGCACACTAAAAGGGGACCTCTATTCCGACCTCCTAAACACTGGAGACTAGACCAGCAAGTCGAGGTGCCGCCTTCATGTGGGCAGGCTGACATCCACCCACTGAGAATGTCCATGGGTGGTGGTGGCATCTCGGGGTCCGTGGAAGAGCGAACAACATGGAGAGGAGAAAAAGAAAAGAGTTTCCTAATGTGCTGGCTGGTTGCATCTTTTTAGCCCCAGGAGAAAGAATGTCACTGCGAGTTTTCGGATTATTCTCTCCATGATGGAGTCACGCTTATGGTTAAAGTAAATAGCACCCAAAGACCGATTCCAGAAACCCTGGTCTACGCTAACTCAGGTAGGGAAATCGTCGCAGTGACCCTTTTGAACATCACTAGCTTCAAGGTAGAGACCTTCCCTTTATTTCTCTTTAGTTTTATTGAGATACACTTGACAATAGGTATTGTACATATTTAAGGTATATAACTTAAAGCTTTGATAGATGTACATGTAGAGAAATAATTATTGCAATTAAGCTATTATCCCTCCCTTCAGCCCCTGGAAAACACCATTTCCTTTCTGTGTCGATGTATCTCCCACGTGCTGGCTATTGTGAATAATATTGTGATGAACATGGGGGTGCATCTATCTTTTTGGGATCCAGATTTCATTTCCTTTGGAAATACACCCAGAAGTAGGATTGCTGGGTCCTATGAGTTCTGTGGTCAGTATTTAAAGAAACGTCCGTGTTTTCCACGGTGGCCACACCAACGTACATTCCCAACGACACAGCACAAGGGTTCTCTTCTATCCACATCCTCACCAGTATTCATCTCTTTTTGTTTCTTTTTAATAGTCATTAAATGACTATTAAAAGTGTGTGAGGTAATAGCTCAGTGTGGGTTTTATGTACATTTTTTTGATGAAGAGTGATGGTGACCATCTTTCTGGGTAGCTGTTGGCCATTTGTACGTATTCTCCTGAAAAATGTCTATTCAGGTCTTCTGCCTGTTCAGTTTAAGTTTTGTTTTGTTTTCTTTTCTGGTTTTTCATTTTTGGGGGGCTTTGGGCTTTTTTTGCTATTAAATTGTTTGAGGTCCTTATCTGTTTTAGATATTAACCTTTTATCAGATAGAGATTACAGATATTTTCTCCCACTCCATAGGTTACCTTGTCTCTCTGCTGATTGTTTCCTTCTCTGAGCCAGAGATTTATAGTTTGATGGAATCCCAGTTGTCAATTTTTGGTTTTGATGCCTGCACTCTTGGTGTCATATCCAAAAAAATCTTTGCCAAGACCAATGCCAAGAATCTTTTTCCCTATGTTTTCTTCCAGTTGTTGTATGGTTTCAGGTTCTGTGTTTAAGTCTCTAATTGATTTTGACTTGATTTCCATATGCAGTGACATAAGGATCCAGTTCATTCTTCTGCTTGTGGATGTCCATTTTTCCCATCCCCATTTAGTGAAGAGGGAATCCTTCATCCATTGTCTGTTCTTGGGACTCTCGTTGAAGGTCAACCCTGTTGACCATAGGTCTGTGGATTTACTTCTGGGCTCTCTGAGGTCCCATTGATCTATGCGTCTATCTTTAGGTCAGTGCCATACTGTTTTGAGGACTACAGCTTTGCAGTGTATTTTGGGATTAGGAAATGCGACACTTCTAGCTTTGTCCTTGCTCAAGAGTGCTTTGGATCTTTGAAGTCTTTTGTTGAATTTTAGGGTTCTCTTTCTATTTCTGTAGAGAACACCACTGGGATTTTGATAGGGATTGAGTCGATCTACAGATCACTTTGGGTAGTATGGACCTTTTATCACCATTAGTTATCTCAATTCACAACCACGGGATCTCTTTCCATTTATCTGCGTGTTCTTAAATCTCTTTCATCAATGTTTTATAATATTCATCAACGTAATTTTAAAATATTCAATTTACCTCCTTGGTTAAGTTTATTCCCAAGTATTTTATCCTTTTGGTTGCTATTATGAATGGGATTATTTCATTCTTTTTAAATTTTATTTTTAAGTAACCTATACACTCAACGTGGGGCTTGAAGTCACAACCCCAGGATCAAGAGCTTCACATTCTACTGACTGAGCTGTCCGAGCACCCGGGATTATTTTTTTAATTCCTTTCTCGAATAGGTCATTATTAGTGTACACAAATGCTACTGATTTTTGTATGTTGATTTTATATCCTGCAACTTTATTACATTTATTTATTAGCTATAAAAATATCCTTCGTTTGGCTTTTAGTTTTTTCTACACATATGGTCATGCTATCATCAAACAGAGATAAGCTTACTTTTTTTTTTTTTTTAATTTGGATACTTTTATTTCTTTTTCTTGTCTAATTGTTCCGGCTAGGACTTCCCATACTATGCTAAATAGAAGTGGTGAGAGTGCCTTACCTTGGCCTTGTTTCTTAACTTATAAGGTCAGCTTTCAATTGTGTTTTTTGTTTGGGTTTTTTTTTTCCCCATTGAGTGTGGTTTTTAGCCATGGGCTGTCCATATTTGTCCTTTATTGGGTTGAGGTAAATTTCATGTATACCTATTTCATGGAGAGTGTTTTTTATCATGAATGGATGCTGAATCTCATCAAAGACGTTGTGTAGCTACTGCGATGACTCTGTGATGTTTTCTTTCATTCTATTAAAATGGTGCCACACAGTGATTGATTTCCATACGTTGAATCTTCTTTGCATGTGGGGATAAGTCTATTCGGTTACGACGTGCAATCCTTTTAACATGCCGTTGGATTTGCTTGTTAGTATTTTGTTAACAATTTTTTACATCTACGTTTATTAGGATATTGGGATGTGATTTTCTTTTCTCATCTCTTAGGGTTGTGATATCATGGTGATCCTGCCCTCATAAAATGAATTTGGAAGTGCTGCTTCTTCTTCTATTTTTTTGGAAGAGTTTAAGAAGGATTGGGGGCAGGGGGTGCCTGGGTGGCACAGTCAGTTGAGCATCTGACTCTTGGTTTCTGCTCAGGTCCTGATCTCAGTTCATGAGATTGAGCTCAGCATTGGCATCTGTGCTCAGAGGGAAATCTGTTTGGGATTCTCTCTCCCTCTCCCTCTGCTCCTCCCACTCATGCTCTCTATCACTCTGTCTCTCAAATAAATCAATTAATCTTAAAAAGGGTGGGGGAGATTGGAATTAATTATTCTTTGGATGTTTGGTAGACATTCCAACCATGAAACCATGTGGTCCATTTCCCACAAATTATTTTGTTTTTGTGTCTTCTCAGGTGGGAATGACACAGCTGCCCAGAATTTCTCCTGCTTTATCTACAATGCAAACTTCATGAACTGCAGTTGGGCAAAGGGTCAGGCTGCCCCTGATGATGTCCAATATTTTTTGTATATAAGAGACTCGAGGTAAGTGTTGAGCTCAGGTAGACAATCCCGAGACGTATGGGCCAGAGGAATCACAGATTGTTCTCTGAACAGTTTTGAGTTTTATAGGAAAAGAAGGGAAAGAGAGTGTCCTCATTACATAGAAGACTCGGGAACCCACGTGGGATGTCACCTGGAAGACCTTTCGGGATTAACTAGCTACAATTACTTCCTGGTGAACGGTACCAGCCAAAGGACGGGGATCCAGTTCTTTGATTCGGTTCTGTCGTGGAAGAAAATTGGTAAGAGCCACGTCCTCTGGTGTAAACAGATGCTTAACAGGTGAACCAAAGGGAGTTTGTGGGGAAGTTTGGAAGAATGGAAATTTTTTCTTTCATGGTCCTGGAGGCCAGATACCCAGAATCAAGGTGTTAGCGTGGTTGCTTCCTTCTGGAAGGAGGCCAACCCATCCTTTTAGTCTGAATTAAACCGGGTGATAAGAAGTGGTTCCCCCCAGAAGAAGCAAGAGTCTTCTGATGCCCTCATAGCCTCCAAGAGCTGGCTCTGGCCCCAGGACAGCCCAGACAGGAAGGTGTTTTGCCTGAAGTCAGACCATGAAGCCCCTTGAGGACCAAAGGCAGGATGTTCAGACCAGGAGATGGAGGTTAACTCTGACCCTTTTATGGCCATCCCCCATGGGTAGCACGCACAGCCTTCTCTTGCTGTTTTGGGGGACACCATTGGCAAACGGATGCCAACTCTCCAGTTAATCTACTTCACAGGCCATTGCCAACCCCCACTCTCCACCTCCACGTCACCTGTTGGGGGAGCTCCAGGTGTGTGTACCCAGCCAGGTAGCAGCTGTGCTCCCCACCTCTCGGGAACTGAATTTCCTGCTCCTTGCTGCAAGACAAACCTCCTGTGGCCCTGACTCAGCCACCCTCCTCCTGAGGCAATCCCCATTTTTTCTCCCCCCCCCCCCATGTTTCTAACCTTTTTATTTAACTCAGGAAAGCCCAATATTATTTCAAACTTCAATCCTGTGCCATTGTGACTGACAGTAAGAAATTGTTTGGTCTCTGTCCTTTCAAGCACAAAACGGCCACAACCCTAGGAATTTCCCCGGGAGGAGAGCAGTAAGGTGTGCCTTTTGTTATGTTAAGGATTGACAGCTGAAAAGCCCCGAAGGATGGGGGTCGGTTGCCAGGGGAACCAACTAGGTGATTAAAGGATTGGAATGTTCAGTCCCCTCCTGTGACCTCCCGGACCTGGACTGGAAAGGAGCTGGTGGCTGACTTCAGTCCTCAATGGGCAATGATTTTAATCACCGTGTTTACATAACAAAGCCTCCCTAAAATCCCAAAAGGATGGGGTTTGGACCTGGGTTTGGTGGACGTGTGGAGGTTTAGGAAGAGAGATAACCCTGATGAGCCCCTTCTCCACACCTGGCCCCATGCATACTTTTTCTGGCTGTTCCTGAATTACAGCCATTTATAATAAACCCATGATCTAGTGAATGACATGTTTCCTTGGGCTCTGTGTGTCGCTGTAGCAGATTAATAGAACCTGAGGAGGCGGTCCTGGGAACTTCTGATCTGCCGCTGGTGGGTCAGAACAACCTGGATTTGTGACTGGCATCTGGCCTAGGGGGTGAAGGGCAGTCTTGCAGGGCTGAGCCTTGGGAGATCTGACACCACGTCCAGGTAGATAGGTCAGAATTGAGTTGAATTGTAGGACACCCCACCAGTTGTCTGAGAATAGCTTGATGGTGGGAAGGGGGACCCCACGCATCAGAACTGGGTGCAGAGTCCTACATGCACATCACAAAATGGGCACAGAACGGTCCTCTGTGCACCGCTGAACCTGCACACATCCCAGTGGTCTTCTTCCCCAAGAGGCAATACTCAAACCCACACAGACTCTGGCCTCTGTGTGACTCCTGGGAGCTGCCTGCAGAACTGGGTCTGACCTCCATGGCCCAGCAGATGCCCGCTGGTTCAGGGGAGTGTCCTGGGATCTCATTACAGAAATATATAGCCCACCCAACAACATCAGCGTGCTCTGCAACAAGTCCCACTGCCTGATCTGTTGGGAAAAGCCCAAGACCCGATACAGGCTGTCCAACATGGAGTTCAAATACCAGCTGGACATCCAGAGAAAGGTGAGTGGACTCTGCCCCAAGCAGGACATTGTGCCTCAAGGAGCAGAGGGCAGCAGCATCATGGGCGATGGGCAGGGCTGGGTGATCCATGGGGAGGAACACAGGGGTGGCTGTGTGGACAGGATGCCCTGGGCATGAGGGTCACCACCACAGCCAATCCAGGAGGGGTAGCCACACACCCAGCTGGATCCTGCAATCCTTCAGGAGGTGCTGGAGATCTCCAAGCAGATGCAGGACAGAGAGGACCTTCTGCTACTTGTTCTCTCAGACCCCAGCTGGAGAAGGAGTATTTTCTCTACCACATCCACCTGGGCCCAGTGTAGATAAGGGGGAGCCTCTGCTCCAAGTCCACCTGGACCCAGTGTAGACAGGGACACTCTCGGCTCCACATCTACCTGGAACCAGTGTAGACAAGGGGGACTCTGCTCCACATCTACCTGCACCCAGGGTAGACAAGGGGCACTCCCTGCTCCACGTCCACATGGCCCCAGTGTAGACAAGAGGGAGCCTCTGCTACAAGTCCAACTGGACCCAGTGTAGACAGGGAGACTCTCTGCTCCACATCCACCTGGACCCAGTGTAGACAAGGGAGACTTTCTGCTCCAAGTCCAACTGGACCCAGTATAGACAAGGGGGACTCTGCTCCCCACCCACATGGACTCAGTATAGACAAGGGGAACTCTCGGCTCCACATCTACCTGGACCCAGTGTAGATAAGAGGGAGTCTGTGCTCCACATCCACATGGACCCAGTGTAGACAGGGGGACCCTCTGCTTCACGTCCACTTGGACCCTTAACTGGACCCATCAGTAGCTGGGGTTCAAAGACGAGGCATGATCAGGGCCATCCTCGGTGGCCAAGTCCATACCCCCGTCTGCGTGACTTGAGGAGAAGAACGTACAGAGGGAACTCAGCCCTTCCCATGGCCCCAGCTCTTGGGGTTACCCCATGACTACACTCAAAGGAGACAAATGAACGGATCCTGTAAAAATCTTCAAAATGGAGAAAAGTAAATCTAGGTCTTTTTTTTTTTTTTTTTTCCTAGAGCAATAAGGAAAACAGCGAGAATCAACTGGTGAGTTAAGACTCTGACCCAAAATGCCATCCCGTCGTGTAACTGTCCAATGTTACTCAAGTGGACACGTGGCCAGGATGGGGTGGGTGATGAGTGAGAGGGTGGCCGCTCCCCAGAGGGCAGTCCAGTCAGTGATGTAGGGATGATCCCAACAGTCCCGCTGTGGGAGGAGAGCTCATCTGGGTACACTTGCCCTGCCCCATTTGTTGAAATTAGTGACCTCCCACCATGTGCATCTATGTTGGTCAAGAAAATACTCTTTTGAGTTTGAAGAAGATTGTTTCTTCCTTCAAAACGCCTCTAGCAGAAAATCATCCAAGCCCTTTATGGTGGCGTGTCCTAAGTCCCAGCACTACGGTGACCTCAGTGTCCTCCGCTGTCCAACTGGGGGCTTTTACTCAGTTAACGTCCTTCCTGGGACGTTATCCATCGGTAGCCCTGCTCCTGTCCCGTGTACCTCCTGAATGTTTTCTGCATCTGTGTTGATGAGCACCCAAGAAGTGTCCCATGGTGAATGGGGGACTTGCCCTTGATGCTGTTTCACATGGTGAGGACACGGTTCTTCTTGTCCTCTTTCCATTGTGCATGTTCCACGCCTGGATCAGGAAAGCGTGCTTGGACACTGTCATCCATCCCAGTGGTGGGAAAAGACATCCCAGCCCCTCTTTTCGGAAGGCGGGACACCCCGCTCTCAAACGTTTTCTTTTGTCCAAAGATTGAGGTGCCTGGTAATTTGGAGAATAGCTACAACTTTCCAAGTCCAGAGCCCAGACCCAAGCATACTGTGAAAATAAGGACCTCGGACGCACGGATCCAGAAGTGGGGTGCCTGGAGCCAGCCCATTGAGTTTGGTATATGTCCTGGGCACGTCCCTCCGTTCATCTCTGAGACCTTCCCATTCCTGTCCCCATTCCAGTCCCTGACACTGTACCCATCCCCAATTCCGTCCCCATTCCCATCCCTGTCCCTGTCACCATCCCCAGAGACTCCCAGACGGAGGAATTCCCATCCACGGGTCTCCACGGGGCTCTGTTCCTTCAAAGAATGGACAACCCACTCAGCCTCCCGAAGGGGCTGCCTCAGCTAGAAAAGATGAATCACTCCGGTTCCCCATCAACCCTGTTCACGTCATGCTCCCAGCCAGGGGAACACAGACATCCACGTTGGGCGTATTTTCTCCTCATCAAGAGGGAGTTATCCATTCCAGGGAACTTGATTACCAACGCCTTCCGCCATTTTCCTCCCTGGAACCTTGAAGGGTTGGCAAGCATTTAATGGTTTGGACCCAAAGCCAATAGAGTCCTCAAGAAATCTGCATTTCCACACTACCTCTCCCTCCCGAATATTTTCAAAGTGTTTCAGTAAGCATTTGATGCATGCAATTTTGTGGGTTGGTTTTTTTTTTTTCTCTGATCCAAAAGCAAATTAAAAAAAAAAATAAATAAGGGCTGGTATAAAATGTATGTAAAATATTCATCCAGAGGTAAAACGTAAGTTCGAAGAGATGAGACAGTGGCTTCTTAACTATGACTCCAAAATGAGGAAAACAAAATTAAAAAAAAAAAATAGGTCAATTGGCATTCATCAAAATTAAAAATTTTTGTATCACATGGAATGGGCACTTTTTAATTGAAATTATTATCATTATTATCATTATTATTATTATTATTTTGTAAGAGGGCACATTTTGTCTATTAATATGGAAAAGTCTCAAGATGCCATTCAATTTGGTTATGGCCATCCTCATAGGACTGGGTTTATTTTCTTTTTTTTTTGTAACAATATCACTTATGGAGCGCCTGGGTGGCTCAGTGGGTTAAGCCTCTGCCTTTGGCTCAGGTCATGATCTCAGGGTCCTGGGATCGAGTCCCGCATCGGGCTCTCTGCTCGGCGGGGAGCCTGCTTCCTCCTCTCTCTCTGCCTCTCTCTCTGCCTGCTTGTGATCTCTCTGTCAAATAAATAAATAAAATATATTTTAAAAAAAGATATTACTTATTGTTTTGAGAGAGAACCAGAGATGGAACACAAGCAGGGGGAGTGGGAGAGGGAGAAGCAGGCCTCCCCGCCAAGCAGGGAGCCCGATGTGGGGCTCGATTCCAGGACCCCGGGATCATGACCTGAGCTGAAGGCGGACGCTTAAGCGACTGAGCCCCCCAGGCACTCCCAAGGGAGTGGGTTTTTTAATTGGATTTCTTTAAAAATAGTAGCATAAGATGTGCCCTGTTAGAAAAATATCAAATTGTAAAAAGTGCCCCTTCTGCATGGTAAGCAACCCAGAAGATCTACTACTAGTTGTGAGGCAACTTTGTTCAAACCTTATGCCTGGAAATGGGTATTTTGGGGTGGGGTCCATTGTTAATTCATTTATTTATTTTTACTTTTTTTTTTTTTTTTTTTTTTTTTTTTTTTTTTTTTTTTTTTTCGGTTTTACATCGTGTCGTTGTGCCGGGCGAGCACGTTACGGTTGGGAGGGTCATGAGGCTGCTTTGTGGGACGGGTTTGGGATGGGCACGTGGGGATAGATTTTTCCCGCTCTGAGCCTTTCTGGGAAGCCTTGAGCCGGCGAGGGAGGGAAGGAACCGGCCATGCCCTGACCGTCCACCTGAAGGGGACCGTCCCCTCTGTCTGCAGGCTCCGAGGAAACCACGCCCAGCCTCGTGCCCATCTACGCGCTGGTGGTCCTGGGGACCCTCATCACGGTCCTGACCCTCGGCTGCCTTTTGAAAAGGTAAACCCCACTGACAGGTTGGCGTCATCCTTGCAGACGGGCGAGACGGACAAGGTGCTCGTTCGGAGGGAGCTCAGGGAACCCACTGCTGTGACGGCCCTCTGGGGAGGTGTAGCTGGCAGCCGACGGGGGCCTTGCCCTGACCCTCGAGGGGCAGCACCGGACACACGTTCTCCGATGCTTCCTGGCCCCTGGGCTGCACTGAGTCCACCCGTTTGGCCCTGTCCCTCCAGCTGGACGTGGACCCCCACCCAGCTCAGCTGTGCTCACGGATGGGTTGCATTTAGCCTCAGGGGAAGGACCTTCCTCTTTCTGGAACGTCTCCCCACAACCCCTCGCCTAGCCCTTCATGTCCCCCCATAAGTCTTGCAGAGTCCTAGGCACCCGCCTAAGGCCACTCCTCTGACACCCTGTTGGGACCCAGGAGGTGTCCTCCGGTGCCCACCCCTCGATGCCCCCGATCCTAATCTAGCATCCCGTGTGCACTTCCCTGAGCACTGACACACGAGCTAACGGCACGGGAATGTAGCCTAGGGACAAGGACAGGACTCCGCCCGGCCTGCTGGACGAGTGCTGACCCAGCACCAGCCTGTTCTCTAGGGAGCCTGGACCCGAGAGCAAAGGGGAACAGGGGCAGCCCCGAAACCCTCTGCCGGAATGGGGATGGAGCGCGTGCTTCACATGAGAACAGTTATCTTCATGAAAAGCCGTTTGAGTTTCCTGTGACCCCAGGGGAAAAAATGACCACAACCAGAAGGTTTGAAACAACAGAAATGAATCATCTCCCAGGTCTGGAGACCAGAAGTCGGAGATCCAGACGGGGCAGGACCACTGAGATCCAGGAGGGCCAGGGCTGTGCTCCGTCCTCAAGCTCCTGGGGAGGGTCCTTCCTCCTCTTCCAGCTTCTGGGGCTCCAGGCGTCCCCAGGCTGTGGCCACGTCCCTCTCATCTCTGCCTCTGTCCTCACATGTCTTCTCCTGTGTCTGTGTCTCCCCTTCCGTGACTTGCGAGGACCCCTGTCCTTGGATTTAGGGCCACCCTGATCCAGGATGAGCTTATGCTCCCTTGATTACAACAGCAAAGACCTGATCTCCAAACACGGTCCCATTTCCAGATTCTGGGGTTCAGGTCTTGAATATACATTTTGGGGGGGACAGTATGGAGCTCAGCAGAAGCATTTTCAGACGTCACGGAATCGGGGGTGCTGTCCCTTTCATAAGAGAGAAAGCAAGTGTCCCTTTGAAAATGCAGCAAAACTCCAATGTTTGGCAAAGGCAAATTCCGCTGTTTAAGTAAAAACACTAGGATTCGGGGCAAACCTCTAACCCAGCACATAGAAACCTGCCACACCGGGAACCGCTGTTCATCATTGTGTGGATTTAGAAGGGACACACGCCTTGTGATCCACAGGGACCCTGGGCCGCCCTGGCTGCCTGTGACTGGCCACGTACCCCACTCTTGTCCCTGTACCCAAGTGAGTCAGCAAAGGTTCTAGAAACATCCTAACCCTATGCCTTCCTATAGTGTGTCTTGTTGGCTCACGGATCTCAAATTTGAGTGGTCCCGCCGTGACTCTTCCATGGAATTGTTCTCCAGCTCGCGGCCCGCAGGCTTCTGCCACTGCGGGCAGGAGGACGCGTCCCTCCTCGGCCAGAAGGACGTGTGTCCCCAGGCTCTTCCCCTCACACGCTTCCCGGCTCCCTAGGTTCCTCGCATCCCAGACTTTATTCCCACCGATTCCGCGCATCAAAGACAAGTGGACGGATAGCCATCGGCCTGACCACCAGGTGGGTGAGGCGGGGACAGAGCAGAGAACCAGGACGGGGAGGACGCCCCAGCGAGTCTGCCCGAGGGGGACCGCGGTGTCCTCATGGAGTGTGGCTGGGATCCCGGTCCTGCTCTCCGGCTGACCTGAAACCCCAACACCCACATCCTCCCTCTCCTCCTCAGGTCATCTGGGAGAACTTCACCTTGGACACGGAAAAAGGTGACAACGAGGAGATCCTAACGGTGCAAGAAGTCACGGTGGCCCCGGCGAGCATGGAAGCTGCATAGACGCTTCTGGCCCGGGAACATTCTGGAAACTGCTTTTTTTTTTTTTTTAATTATTATTATTGTTGTTTTGAGCATTTATTTATATAGCTTTTTTAAAAAATTTTTTTTACTTAAAAAGAATGTGATTTTTTGCAAAGATGGCGGTCGTCGGAGGGCTCACTGAACGCACTGGGATCCGACGCCGTGATGCCCCTGCTTCTCTCCCGGGAAACAGAGAGCTCTTCCTTGCCTTACGGTGGCTCAGATACCCTCCTGGCAGCAGCCAGCAGGGCTGAGACGTGGGTCTCTGGCGTGTCTGTGGTCCCCATGGGAGCACTGCCCTGCCCTGTTTCTCCACTAGCTGCAGCTCAGCCCCATGTGGGGACCATCTAAGTGTCCTGAATAGTTATCTCCCCCGCCAAGTCCCGTTTGCCACCTAACGTGACACATTCCAAGGCTCTAGGAATCAGGGTGTGGACATCTTTGGGGACATTGTTCCATCCACCACCTGGGGATCGGGACATGGACGTCTTTGGAGACATGGTTCCATCCACCACTTGAGCATTGGGATATGGACATCTTTGGGGACATTGTTCCTTCCACCACGTGGGGATTGGGATGTGGACATCTTTGGGGACATTGTTCTGGGGATCGGGATGTGGACGTCTTTGGGACATGGTTCCATCCACCATGTGGGGATCGGGATGTGGACGTCTTTGGGGACACAGTTCCATCCACCAGACATGGATCAGGATGTGGACACCTTCGTCTGCAGGCATGGGCGGGGATGGGAGGGGACTTCTCACAAGGATCCCGAGACCAACTCTGCACCTTGACTTCTGAGACACGTGAATATGAAACCCCACAGGACGCCCGCCCGCCCAACCACATGAAGGTAAGAAGCAGGGAAGAGTCTAATACAGGTCTTGTTGAGACGAGAAGCAAGTCCCACACAGGAAATGAACGTGGCTGTGAAGGGCCACAAGTCCATATGCAGTGGGGACCTGTGGAAAGTCTTAGAAGCCAAGGAGAGTGTCCTGCAAAAACCACAGCTCACGTCGTGTTGTGTTTGTTGATGAGGACAAAGCTTACAGGGAGCGCAGATGTGTCTGGAAATATGGATACATAAAAATACAGAGACAGGCATATCCGTATAGAAAGATACATGCAGAAGAGAGGAAACAATGTATGTGGATGGACACACAGAGGGAGAGACAGATACATATTTGGAGAAATATGGGTGGACATACATACAAAATATACACACAAATTTGATAGATGGGAAGGAAGTGACTCGTACGATGGTGGGGCTGGTCCGTGTGACACCTGTAGGGCAGGTGGGTGACCTGGAGATGCAGGCGGCAGGTGATAGATAGTACACACCTGAGGCAGAATTACTTCTCTGAGAAACCGTGCTGTTTGCTTTTAAAACCATCACCTGATTGGACGAGGCCCACCACCCTTGAAGTAGACTCTGTTCAATTTAGTGGCTTGTGGATTTTTTTCTTTTTTTTTCTCTTTTTCTTCTTTTATTTCCTTTTTTCTTTTTTTGCTAGTGGATTTTTTTCTTGTCCCACCTGCAAAACAGCTCTAGGCAAGTGTCTGATTGCATAACAGGGGGCTTGTCCCCTGTGTGAACACACGAACGGATCATCCTGGAACCCTTTAAAATGGGAATGCTTGTGATGGGACTTGCAGTGGGTGCCCTGGGCATGTCCCAGGTGAAACCTGCCATGGGGATGGACCCCTGCTCCCAGTGCCAGCTGTGCCTTCCCACGGACTCCTGTGGGATCAGGCAGGTCTGCCCAGGGTGGGGGCTCCTAGCCTGGGAGCTTTGCTGTGTGATTTGCTCCTGACAAAGTTTCAGGTAACAAAATCATATGCTTGGGGCCTGAAGGGATCCCCCAGCTGTTAAACCTGACTTCAGAGGTGTTGGGGCTCCTCTCACTCAGCTCCCCAGGAAATGAAAAGCAAAACAAAACAAAACCAAAAAAAAAAAAAAAAGTTGATTTATACCGTTTGCTGTTTTTGCGGTAGATCGTCTGGCCCAGCCTCCTTGGAGTTACCAGAGGCTTGACATCAACACTAACGACTCTCAGATAGTCAACGTGGCCCCCCAGGGTGTGTACGAGGTGGCCCCCACTTGTCCCTGCCTCGCGGATTCCAACAAGCACTTCATGTGAGTCCTGTCCATCTGTCCGTCCGTAAGATGATGCCCAGGATGCCGGAAACCTGCCTCCCTCCCTTCATCTCTAAGAAACACCATCACCCTCCAATGACGACTCCTGGCGCCTGACGTCCTGCCATAGGTGGGGGCGTCCCTTCAGACCAAGACTTATCCTTGGAAAGTAAATGCTGCTCAGAGTCCCGAGGGGCCAAACTGGCCTCCAGGATGACAGATGCTCGCTCAGTGGAGGCCGTCAGCCGAGGACAGGGCCTCTGTGTTCCAGGAGTGTGACTGGTAGCCCCAGACGCCCACGCAAGAGTGTCAGGAATAAGAGCATGGCCGGCACCAAAGGCATGCCCCTTGCACTTTGAAATTTTGCTCTGCACTAGCCCAGACGGGACCAAAATAGTCTATGCACAGAAAAGAACAACAACAAAAAGAGCAGGTCTCTGTGAACAACTACCTTTGGCAAAATATGGATATAGGAAAATCTAAATCATGTTGTAAAAGAGATATTTTACATTTAGGCTTTCCACTTGCTGTTCCTGCTTGCCCTCTCCATTCGGCCTCCCATGACGCCCTCCCCACTCACCTGTCACTTCTGTAAAAGGCTGAGTTCCTGCACATGTAGGCGGAGGTGATATCAGTCATTATCACTTTAGTATGAATTTGCAATCCCCCTCCCAGGCTGGTTCCATTTCATTTTCAGGTGTAAGCGTTGATGGTTTGGTGAGGTTTAACGGAATTTAAACTCAGGGGGAAGGGGTGCTGCAGACACTTCTTTTGTTCAGTAGACATTTTCAGTGGCCCTGGAAGAACCCCGTAGGAAAGATGCCCTGGGGAAGCCGTCCACTACAAGACAAGGACAGTGTTGGGACAGGTTGAAGCACCAGGAGAAGCAATTCCAGGTGCAGAGGGACCCCAGGACCTCACGCCACGCTGGGTCCTGGAAATGCCTCTCCATCTGGATGCTGAGGGAGTCTCACCCCAGCTCAGGGACTGACCCCAGAGGGCGCCCAAGAGGACTGGGGTCAGCACACCCCCTGGGTAGGAGTTCTGTCTCCAGGGTTAGGGTTAGGGTTAGGTCATGCCCCACACCTGGCAGGGGCAGCTGGTTGTGAGGACCGGTGGCAACCTGGGGGTCAGATGGAACAGAATGGGGGCAGCGACCAGGACCCAGACATTGGGGTTCATCCTTGGAGCCCTTTCTTCTCACAAGGAGGCCAGCTTCTGGGGAAAAAGCCTCCCTGAAGCATGTGTTACTGAGATGAATAGTCTGGGGTCACACTTGGCTTCCCCGTACTCACGCTGTCAAGAACATTAGGGGAAGGGACACAACAGGGTGGAGAGCTCACAGTTCGGGGGAATGGAGTCGGGCTGGGCCCCGTATTCTTGCAGACATATGAGAAAATGCCCCCACGGTGGGAGGAGCTCTCCTCCAGGAAACCAGACAACTGGGCAGGCCCTGGGGTTCTCAGGAGGCCGGGAGGCGAGTACGGCTGCTTCCACTGCACAGGCATGGGGCGCGGGGTCCAGGAGAGCTGGGGCAGTGCTGGCCATGTGTAGGGGACACGGGGACCCTATGGAAGATAATCTCAGTCTAGATACGCAGGCAGGGCAGCCGGGGGTCGGGCAGGAGTGTTTGGACGAGTTTCCAGGGTGCTCACAACAAAGCAACACCATCCAGGGGGTGGCAGGACTCCACCGTTGCCACATAAACCCTCCCCAACGCTGGAGGCCAGATCCGTGTGGATACGTCTTCCGTATTTCTGGGATTCATAAAACAGCAGGTTGGCCGAGGCATCCAGAGCCCCATGCTTCCCACCCCATGTAGTTCCCGACGGCCCATTCAGGTTTGTGGCTGCGGGCGTGGGGTCTTGCTTCCCAACCAGCAGGAACCGCGCCAAAAACGGTGCCATATTGAATCCAGCCCTGAGGCGCGTCCCCTTCCAAGTCAAAGCAAAGAGACGCCCTTCCTGCCAGCACTGCCGAGGCTCTTCTAGAAACTTCCCACTGGCTTCTGGGTTTGAGAGGGAGAGATTCCCCGGCTCCTGAAATAAACAGCAGGAGCCTAAGTACTGCCTCATGCCTGGGAAACGTGTCCCCCATCAAACGGTAACCCATTCTCTACCCAGGGCATAGTTTGGGGTTTGGAGACCCAACGGGGGCAAGGAGTTCTCCAGAGGATACGCATCCCGAGAGCTGTATTTCCACGCGTGCACCCCCTTCACGGGGCGCCTGGGATTCGTCTTGTCTACACTGCAGGGTAGAATAGTCTTTGAGAAGAGCAAACAAGGGGATACGGTCCATCTCATGAGAAAAGCCTTCGAAGGACACCATTTCTGTGGGAGGAGACAGGCCGGCAATGGTCGTCCCCACTCTGGAGAGTGCTGGGCACGTAATTACCCCGCTGGGACGCGGGAGCGAGTCCTTTCTGAGCTCCCCCACCGGATCCGTCCATCCAGGCATCATGGAGTGGGGTCGTTGTGGAAGAGGGAAGACACAGGCTCCCACAGCGACGAGGATCCGTCCCATCGTGGGGAAGCGCTGGGGAGATGGAGAAGCCTCGAGGACCTAAGCCAGGACGGGAATCCTGCCCATCTCGGAGAGCTGAGCTCGAGGAAGCATGACACAGAGCACCGAAACCCCGAGCACCCCAGAGGGACCAGGTGGGTGATGGGCCAGAGGGATTCTGCTGCACAAAAAAAGAGGAACTCGGAGATGCTGATAAAAGCAAGGGGCCAGCTTCAAGCTTGCATCAGACGCTGGCTGGGCTGGAAAGCTTCCTGTCCCGTGGGGAGATAACGGGGACCCCGCCGCCCACCGAGAAGGAGGACCCCGCGGAGGGCAGACAGGACATTCCTCCAGACGCTGACCTGAGCGTGAATCGCAGGCGGGCGTCTGCACAGAAGGCTGTTGACCCGCGTTCTGCTCGTGCCCTCGGGCACCGCCGGTCTCCATCGCCCCGTGGACCACGGCCTCACGGGCGGCCCATCAAACGGGCAGGACAGCGCTTTCCAAACGGGCGAGAACATTCCGGAAAGCTCGCGGACGAGTAAGTCTGAGGCTTCTCGCATCTGTAGGGCCCAGTGGCTTTGGCGTGATTCTACGGCCGGGCAGGCTGGGAATGGTAGAGAAACCCGGTGCGAGCTCCGGGCGCCCTCTCGGGTCGGCTGGGGAGTGGACCGGCGGGCTGAGCACCCCCGCGGCTCGGAGACCAGAGCCACTGTCTCGGGGAAGCCGCCGCGGGAGCGTGGTTTTCCCAGACGGGGTGCGCGAACGGGTCGCGGCATCGGCCCGTGTGCACAAGGCCTCGATGTCCCTCTTTGGGGCGTTTTTAAGGTTATTAAAGTCACCGAGGGTCGGGCTTCGCATGTTGATAGCTCAGGTCTCTCCACTTGGAAGCAGAAACCACTGAACCCAAGAGCAAAGTTGAGACTCAGGCAAAGTTGTGGGGTGGTGGGTGGGGGTGTCTACAGCCTGAGGCAAAGCAGCGTCTCCGGGAAGAGGCTGGGTACCCCGATAAGGCCCGGCCGGAGGTCGGGCGATCTCGCCGGAATGCCAGAAAGAAAGCAGACCAGTGCCCAATTCAGGACTAAACGCATCGAACCCCTTTGAATTACGTTTGCGTGTTTTCGGTGTGATAAGGACCCCCGGGTTAATTTTGGAAACGCCCCACTGGTAGGAACACACGGCGAGATATTTTTCATTGAGACGGGAGCTGAGATTTTGGCCTCAAGAATGCCACGGGAGGGAGGAAAGCGGGCAGGAAAGCCCAGAGGACAAATGAGGGGCACATTGACAAGTGTCAGAGAGAATAGAGGGTCCCGCCTGCCCTTGCACCGCCCCCCCCCCCCCAACGAAAGGTCAGGGAAGCCAGCGGGGACATGTCTTCCAGCTCCCGCGGTTGGCACAAGGTTCAGGGAGAAGAGTCGTCTTATCAAGGACGGTCGTGGGCGTGCACACCCGAGGAAGAAGGAATCCTGTTTGTTCATAAAAGGTGCCGAAGAAACGGGGCGTCCAGAAGGCTTAACGGGCAGTCGTTGGGTCGACGCCAAGAGAAGGGCAAAGGGAGACTCTGTGAAAAATGCAGAAGTCCCAGGCCTGGCGCTCAGCCCCTCATCGCTCCTGCGTGGGCGCCTTCACATCCCCCGGCCTAGACACCGCCATGTCCCTCCGCGGGATGCCAAGCCCCGTGCGAAATGCAGAAACACCCACGTTTTCTTTCCGCGCCTCGGTGACACAGCCTGTACGTCGTGGCTCCTGTCGGTCTCTTGTGAGAAGAGGTTTGAAGAGGATAAATGCAGCAGTTTCAGGACAAATTGGGAGTTTGTGGAGGGGACAGCTCATTCCCAGGAGGTGCCTGGGGTCCTGGATTCTGATTCTGTCCACACTGCTGGATGCTCCGAGATGACAGGACTGCATGTCCGCAGGCTGACCTGTTCCGAGGAGGGTTGGTTCCGAGAGACACACACCTGCCCCCAGCTCCCACCTCCGGAGTCATCAGGAATCCGTGCCTGTCTGGACCCCACTCTTGAGCCCTGAATGCAACACACACAGACCCCTATCCTCTGTCCCTAAGACTCATAATGCAGACACCGTGGATGGTGGGGACAGCCTTAAACACTCAGCATCACCACGCCTTGTTTTCCTGGAGATTCTGCCGTGGGATCTTTTCCCTCTAACCTCTTAGATTCTGTCCCTGACCCGGCAAATTAAGCAGATAAAGGATTAACAGGGAAACCTGCCTTAACTACATATATAGGCACTGGGGTTCACACAGAAAAATGCGGCTCAGGGAAACAGCCAGATGACCAGGGTGGCTGTTACAAATAGCCCAGATATGCCGATTTCAACAACAGATGTTTATTGATCCCAGACCTGGAGGCTGAGAGTCCAAGATCCAGGCAGGGCTGAGTCTGGTTCCTCCTAAGGCCTCTCTCTTTGGTGTGTTGACCCCGTGCCCTCCCTGTGTCCTCCCATGGTCATCTCTGTGCATGTCTGTGTCCTCATCCCCTCTTCCTATAAGAACCCCCGTTCTATGGAATCAGGGTCCATTCAATGGCCTCATTTTACCTTAATCTCTTTAAAGACTCCATCTCCAAATATAGCCTCATCCTGAGGTCCTGGGAGCAAGGGCTTCTACATGTGAATTTTAGGGGGACACAAGTCAGCCCCCAGGACTCCCCTTTCTTGGAGAAGGGACACGTCCACCTCACTGCTCACAAGCCCCCTTAGGCCAGCACCACAGCTCCTGATGCTGAAGATGACTCTTTTCCCTCAAAGCATTTTCTCCTCTATGGGCTTCACACATTCCTCTGGAACTTTATCGCTGGGGCCTTTCTCTGTCCCCTCTGAGTTTCTCCGCAGCCGACCCTGAGGTTCTGCTGGCCCTTCTGTGGTCTGTGTTCACACGGCTCCTGACCCAGCACAGGCCCTTCCCCAAAGGGTTCACTTCCCCTGGCCCAGCCACGTCGGTCCTTCCTGTCCTGAATGTGCACCTCCAAACAGACCTCGAACTTCCCTTTGTGGCCCGCGTATGTCACTGTGTTTCCTTCCTTGTGGGGAACATTTCAGCAATGATCCCGGAGTGGCCGATGGACATCAGTGGCGTGGCGGGGCCGCCCCACCCCCACCCCCCTGCCTCAGGGGAAGGTGGGAAGCTGTGAGCCAGGAGGTGCCTGAGCCCTGCCACCAGCAGGCACAGGCAGGTCAGCCCCTGCTTTAGGGCTGACCCACAGCAGGTGCACAGAGAACGCCTTCCAGGAGGGCTGGTCTTTGCTGGACTGGTCCAGAGCACCTACCTCCCACCCATTGCTCTGGTATATGGAGCCCTGCACCCCAAGCTGAGGGGCCAAGGTCAGTCTTGAAAGGCACCACGCCACACTGCCCTACAATGTACCTCTTGGGCATATGGAAGATTTTGTGCAACAGGCCACGGAGAACCAGCAGAAGCAGGAAAAGCTCTATATGACTCCCTAATGACCAGAAGACAGAGGACATAAAGTTCCCCATCATGAAGGAAAATTTCATTTGTAAATAAAGTTTCTAATGCTTTAAAGGTTTCTATACCAGGAAGATGACTACACCCACAGATTTCTTATCATCTGAGAGATTCTTATGAACAAGAGCCTGTATTTATCACTCATTTCCTGCTTTCCCTTTCCCCATAATTGCCTTTCCCCATTCAAAACACAGAAACCCCCTTTCCAATGTTGAATTGATGACGGTTTATAAGCCCGATCATCTGACTGTCTCCCTGAGCCGCATTTTCCTTCGAGAACCCCCCATGCTTATATATTGTAGTTCAGGCTGGTTTTCCTGTTAATCTTTTATCTGCTTAATTTGCGGGTGTCGTGAACCGAAACTAAGAGGTTAGAGGGAATCGATTTTTTCCTCCCCTACAACCTCTACTCTCTGACTCTCTCATTTCCTCGCCTCCGTCCTAGGTCTGTCCTATGTAGGAAGACTTCTCACTCACTAATGAGACACAGAGCAGAAAGGAGTAGACCTGCTTCCTCCAGGTAGGGAGATAAACATCTCTCATCCCTGGAGGTTGGAAAGAGGCTAAAAACACTGTGACAGCCTGAGGGGTTTGTGCACTCCGAGTCTCTGGTGGCCTCCAGGCTCATATTGGCTCTTTCTACAAAGACATTTCATCCTTGGAGCCCTTGGGCAGCTCAGTTGATTAAACGTCCTACTCCTGATTTCAGCTCAGGTCGTGATCTGAGGGTCATGAGACGAGCCCTTCACTGGGCTCTGTGCTCAGCAGAGAGTCTGCTTGGAATTCTTTCTCTCTCTCTGCTTCTCCCCCTGCCCTTCTCTCTAAATAGTAACAATGATAATGACGATTTTTTAAAAAAAGGTTTTCCATCCCGGTCAGGTGACCTGTGGCCTCACTCCGGGTGGTGTCCATTCAGCTACTGAGGCCATCCCCTGTCTGTCTTTGTGTCCAGCCCTTGTTGATCTGCACTGATGCAGAACTATTAGAAAAGAAAATCACTCAAAGATACAAAACCCTGCCCCGGCAATCACCAGACACAGAAAGACCTTCCATCAGAAAATTCCATTTTTTTGGCCTCTGCAACACAGACAGCTCCCAGGTCCCTGCCCACGTCCAAACGGCTTTTAAAGCCAGTACTCATCACATGGACTCCAAGGCAGGTGACCTCCCTGTGGACCATGGTCTGTCCCTAACGATGATGCCAGGAGTGTTCCTGCCTGCTGGGACCTTTGTTGTATAGGAAAATGGTAGCCCCAGGGGCTTGGCTCAGGATGAGACAGAGTTGCCTCACACCCCAAAGTGGCTGCTGGGGACCAGTATCCTCACCATATTCCTTCTTCTTTACTGCAGGCCTCACTTCTGCCCTCAGCCACCCTGCACAAGAGAAGCAGCCTAAAATAATCCCGATAGTAGCTCTGGGGTTTGGAATGGTTCCCCACACAAGCATCTCAGCAGCACGAATGTGGGTGGGACCAGCAATGGCCAGTGACAGTGGGGTGGGGAAAATCACGCCTGGTGGGGAAAGTTGGTTCACTACCAGCTTGCAGAAAGTGGTCATCAAGGAAGCATGTTGAACGTACTGGTGCTCTGGGGGGAGTTCCAGCAGAGTTTCAGAGGTACTGTGATTTTGCAGGGAACCAGGGGTGTGGGAATAGGATGGTGGCCCCACACAGTACTGGGATGGGGCACTGCTGGCCAAATAAGGTGACGGGATGCACCCCAAGAGCTCCTGCATATTCTGTAAAGGCTCATTACTGCTGACTCTCCTAAGGACGATAAGGGAGGGTCCACTTTGGGAATCTGACCTCTGACCTGGGTTCTCCTCCTGTGTAGGTGCAGCACTGGGGCTGGTGCATGGCGACCATGCTGGGTCTTGTGAGCTTTCTGGTGCTCCTGAATTCGGCGTGCTGCGGACGAGCACAGCTGGGTAGGTACAGGCAGGGGCTCCAACGCCAGGGTCTGGGTGGGGTGAAACTGCCATACCCCCACGCCAGAAGGGGACAAACATCCCTCCCCCAGACCCGAGGTATCTCCCCCCACAACCCCCCACCCTGGTAGAGGAAGGGGTCCTTTTGCAAATCAACCTATAAGTGGATGTTTAACCTCTGGCAGAATCAGGGACTGAAAGGTCAGTCAAACCTAGCTCAGGTGTCAGACTTTCTGCCTATCCTGGGAAAAAAAACTTATTAAAATGCAAAAATTTTGGATGCCTGGGTGGCTCAGTCAGTGAAGCATCCAACTTTTGATTTTGGCTCAGGTCATGATCCCAGGGTCGTGGGATGGAGTCCCACATGGGTCTCCTTGCTCAGCGGGGAGCCGGCTTCTCCCTCTGCCTCTGCCTCTGCCTCTGCCTGTGCTGGTCCCCCTGCTTGTGCTCTCTCGCTCTCTTTCTCTATGACAAATAAATAAAATACTAAAAAGAAAAGAAAGAAAGAAAGAAAATCTTTAAAAGTATATATTTTGAAAACAAAAAAATCTGCCAATCCACAAAACCTGTCCACAAAGGTGCAAGAAAATGTAGAAATCGTAGGCAGGTGGCCCAGTAAAGATGGCTCAGAGACAGGGAGAAAAACATCCCCTGGTTTGGAGCTAGGGTCCTGGGGACGTTGGGGCATCTCTCTTCCCCCGAGGCTGAGGACGGGCATTCACCTCTCTGACGACCACATTTCACAGAAGCTCCAGATCTGGGCCCAGACATTCTGGAATTTTGATGCTTGCAAAGCCCCTCTGGGAATGGCCATGTTCTACTTTGTACTTTTGTTGCCTTTGCTTTTGGGGTCAAGTCAAAAAAAAAAAAAAATCATTGCTTAGACCGACGTCAAGGAAGTTACCAACTTGGCTTTATGTTTTTATGTTTTTCTTGCCTAGGAGTTTTGTGGTTTCAGGTTACACGTTCAAGTCTTTAATCCAGTTTGAGTTAATTTTTTTTGTGAATCTGGTTAGTGGTGTGGTTTCACTCTTTGGCAAGTGACTGACTGCTTTTCCCAGCAGTCAGACTGCTTTTCCCACCATTTTTTGGAGAGACTCTGCATCCCCCCATTCTATATTCTTGGCTCTGATGTTGCAAATTGGTTCTTTGTGCTTCCCCCCCCCCCCAACAGGGAGAATTAAAGTCCTCATGGTTAGTTTCTACTTGTCCTCCCCTGTGGCAGGTTCCTTCCTGGTCCAGGTGATGCATCAGGTCCCCCACTCCCTGCCCCACCCCAAGAGTCAAAGCCCACCCAGAAGGCACAGGACAGAAGCTCCTCAATTAGATTGACACAGGAAGGCCCACTTTCCATTCCCTCCCAGAAGGTTTAGAGGGTCCTAATGTCTCCACAACCTGCCCTTTGACTTTAAATAGTTTCTGTAACTTTTTTCTGTATTAAATTTTTTTTTTCCTGTATTTAAACATTTTTCTGTATTTAAGATTTTTTTATTTTTATTACTCTATATTTTAAGAATCAGTTTCTGTATTTTTCAAATATTATTACTATAGCTAATGTGTCTGTATTTTTCAAATTATTTTCTGTACTTTTCAAATTATTGCTACTGTAGCTAAGTTGTCTGTATTTTTTCTTTTTTCTTTTTTTTTAAGATTTTATTTATTTATTGGACACAGAGAGAAAGATCACCAGTAGGCAGAGAGGCAGGCAGAGAGAGGGGGAAGCAGGCTCCCCGCTGAGCAGAGAGCCCGAAGTGGGGCTCGATCCCAGGATGCTGAGATCATGACCTGAGCTGAAGGCAGAGGCTTAACCCACTGAGCCACCCAGATGCCCCATGTCTGTATTTTTTCAAAATTATTATTGCGATACCTAAGTTGTCTGTGTTGTTCAAGTTATTTTCTATATTTTTCAAGTTATTTTCTGTATTTTTCAGATTTTACTACTATAGCTAAGTTGTCTGTATTTTTCAAATTATTATTGCTATAGCTAACCTGTCTGTATTTTTCAAATTATTTTCTGTATTTTTCAAATTATTATTGCTATAGCTAACCTGTCTGTATTTTTCAAATTATTTTCTGTATTTTTCAAGCTATTTTCTTTTTCACATTGTTACTTAGCTAACTTGTACTTTTTGAACTATTTTCTGTATTTTTCAAATTACTGTTGCTATAGCTAACTTGTCCATATTTTTCAAATTATTTTCTGTATCATCTGTGTTTTTCAAAATATTACTATAGTTAACTTTTGTGTATTTTTCAAATTATTTTTGTTTTTCAAATTATTGTTGCTATAGCTAAGTTTTCCATGCTTTTCAAATTATTTTCTGTACTTTTCACATTATTATTATAGCTAACTTGTACTTTTCAAATTATTTTGCATATTTTTCTAATCATCACTATACTTAACTTGTGTATTTTTCAAATTGTTTTCTTTATTTTTCAAATCATAACAATAGCTGGCTTGTATTTTCCTTTATTTTTTAGAAATATTTTATTCATTTATTTTAGAGAGGGAGCGAGAGAGAGAGAGAGAGAGCGAGCACAGGCCAGTGGGGAGAGGCAGAGGGAAAGGAAGATTCCCCACTGAGCAGGGAGCCCAATGTGGGACTCGATATCTGGACCCTGGGATCATGACCTGAGCCGAAGGCAGACGCTTAACCACTGAGCCACCCAGGCAAACTAACTCGTATTTTTCAAATTATTTTCTGTATTTTTCAAATTATTATTACAAAAGCTAAGTTTACGGGAATGAAGTGACTTCTCATTACGGTTTTGTTACCCATTCCCCTGATAACTAATGGTTCTTTTCATGGGCTCATAAATGTCCCTGAATTGTTCACTTAGAAATGGTTTATTTTGGGCATGAATTCGGCCTCAGTAAACAAATGTAACAATCCATGCCTGATGTTTGCAGATTATCTCCCCTGACTTGTAACTGTAACATCACCTGGGGAGGGGGTTCTAATTCCTACTAAGTTTGTTTATTTGTTTCTAATTACAGCAGGCGAGAATAGATCTCCTATTACAAACATGCAGCTAGATTCAAGGAAAAGAATGTTAACCTGGAATTACATAAGAAATGTGAGTGAGCAAGAGTGCATGATATCTACCCCTCCCAACTCTCCCACCGTGCCCAGCTTTCCCACCATACAAGCCCCAGAGGTGAGTGCTCTTGGCTCATGCCTTACGGCTTTGCTCCTTGTACATCTTGAATTTTCCTGTGAAACGACTCTTGAGTCCCCTGCCTTGATTTCCACTCCTATTGCTCTTGTCAGCAAAGAAAAACATTTCCTCTATCCTCTTATATTCTGGGATAGGGACATGCAAATTAAAGTGACCAATGCCAGATTTTTCAGGGGGAAAAGACGTACAGATTTGTTCTTAGTGCAACTTTTTACATACATGAAGAGTCACAGAAGCAAAGTAAACACCCCAAGAAGGGGTCAGACTAGGAAGATTTCCTGCTGTTTTTTTAAAGGAGTGAAAAATTGAGGAGATATCATGATGAAGGAATAGGGATTTTTGGCTTCTACGGCCACTACATTGTTTGGAAGTGATTAGGGAATCAGTGGGTGAACTAGTGGCTGGTACATGTTATTTTAGTAACGTCTGTCTGTGCAGTGTCTTCTCAGCGCTGGTGGTCCTTGTCCAGTAATAAGGATCACTCTTCACCTTCCTGTCACAGGAGAAGGTGGGAAAACCCTTTGTGAAAGGGTCTTTTGTGTCCTGCTTTTATGTAGATAAGGAGGCAGAGAAGCCCTCTTTTATCTGTCCATTTGTCAGGTACCCCCTGCTCAAAATGATTTGTATGCCCAAGTGGTCTATTTGGGACTGGGGCAAATCCCATACATAGGATGACCGCTTTCACTCTGCTTCTATACGGTGGGAATAAAACTTACACACTACATCTCACATATGAGGGAGAATATAATCGCTGTGTTTTTGGTGCATGCCTTCATTTGATTTCTCCCCTTAATGAGGGAGGAGGGGGAGAGATGTGGATTTGCCCATTAAATGGGTTCCATTCCCTTCATGTTAAAACAGCCCCCCTGGATTCAGTTTGTGTTTTGGGGCTGTTCATTTATTCATCACCTAGTTCACACACTCCCTTAGTTTGATTCTAAGGATGTCAGGAAGGAAAAAACCTTGTCATCCACCCTCTTAGGTTCTGTCCCCAGAGGCCTGTGAATTAACATGTTGAAAGATAGATAAAGAAGAGGGAGAAAAATATATTCCCATGCATATGGAGCTTATAAAAAACAGAGCTCAATAAATAGCTAAAGTGGAGGATTTATGTACCTAACCAGTACGATAAAGGAAGGAGACAATAAAGCTCTCTACGGTTAGAACAAGGAGTTTTCCAGAAAACAAAAAAACAAAAAACAAAAAAACAAAAAAACCAGGAGATAAAGTTTGGAATCATGCTTGTTCATGTAAGTTTGAGAAGTTTTTCTGACTTTTTAGTGGCCCTAAAGCTTTGCCCAAAGAGGGCATTCATGGTAGGTTTACCCTTGATGTCCTTCCTGGAAGTTAAATTCACTCCAAAGAGGGAATTTATGGTAGCCTCATTTTCCAGAACTTTCTACTTTTAGTCAGATAAAAAAAAAACTCTCCGCAAAAATATTTCTTTTGGCATCTTTTGAATCCAAACGTCTTCAGCTTAAAATGATCTTCATAATAATTTGGGGCTTCCTCGGGATGGAGTGGGGGTTCCCCACAATGGGTGGGGATGTGCCCCAGACAGGAGGCTAAAAGGGATCCATGTCCTCTGCCCCAAACCCTGCCCCTGGGATGCTTCCAGCCCTGACATTCCATCCCTCCATGGGACGACCGTACCTTGAGACAACCCCTGGGATCACCCCATAAACCGATTCTAGAATGAAATGAGAATCCAGGCTGCCCAGGGAAAAGCCGAAACCCAGAATGAGCAGGTGGGCTGTGCTCCCGTACCCCTTTCCATGCAGACTGTGGCAAGGAGGACCCCTGTATCGTTATGGCTGTTTTTAGCAGGAAATTTTTTTTTTTTTTTAAGATTTATGTATTTATTTGGGGGATGGGAAGATGCAGAGAGAGAGGGAGAGAATTCCAAGCAGATTTGGTGCTGACCGTGGGGCCCAACGCAGGGCTGTATCTCCTGACCCTGAGATCAGGACCTGAGCTGAGAGCAAGACCCAGGGTCAGCCCACTGTCCACCGGCTCCCCATTAGGATTTTTTATATGGGTTCCTCTGGCACCATCTGCAGGCTGAGGAGGGTCTTGCATTGTCTCCGGAAATTAAAGTCCCGGGGAGCAAAGGACACCTTCCCAGGTATGTCCTGCTTTCAGGCAAGTGATCTGCATGGGGGTGTCTTCTGTCTGGTCTTTGCAATTGCCTTCAGCTCAAAATAATCCTTGTGCTGAGATGGTTTATTGGGAGGTGATATAGTCTGCTACGGTCACCCCTTAGGAGCAGGGATTTATGGCCCCCCGGGGTGGGGGCAGGAGGATGGAGCAAGGAGGGTTTCCCCGTAGGGGGTCGCAGAGACCCAGCTGTGGGCATCATTATGTACCTGTGCTTTTAAAAGGTAATGAAATTAAATTTTAACATAATGAAACAGATGGAAATGGGTCGCTGACCTTCCTTTATGAGTGGGTCATTTCTAAGCATTGTATCTCTTTCTGTGGCTTGATTGAATTTTTTTTTTTCCCCGATTTTAAGTGTTGGCTGTTGGTGCACGGAAGGCATTAATTTAATGGCTTTCCTGTCCAGGGTTATTTGTTTTGTTTTATTATTATTACTGTTATTTTTTTTTTTTTTTTACAAATTCAATATGTTTGGCGGAAGCATCTGGTTTTCTGAATGTCGTCCAGTAATTTAGGAACAATGTGAGTGTCCCCCTCCCCTCTGTAATGGTCTTGGCTTTCTGTTTCATCTCATTTTTCCTTGCAAATTCAAGAAAACTACATTTAGTGTTTCCATATGAATTACAACACGGCCTGTTGGTGAAAAACAACGGATATCAACAACAACAAAACCCCAAAGCAAAAAAACCATCTTTGTCCTCTCATTTAAGTGCCTGCTGTGCTAAGTGTTGTTTTTCTCTAGCACAGATCTGGCAAATTCTTGAAAATGTGTTTTTGGACCTCTGTCGAGATTATCCCTTTGCTTCCCCTCCTGTATGGACCTCATGAAAACAGATCGTGCACAATCTTGATGGGATTTTTTTAAAAAAATAATGTTGAATTTAGTGCATGAGCATGACATTTTGGGATTTTTTTTATAGCTTTACATTTCTTTAAAAAAAAAGGATTTTATTTTATTAAGTAAGTAATTAAGTAAGATTTATTAAGTAAGTCTGCACCCAGTGTGGGGCTCGGACTCACGACCCCATGATCAAGAGTGGCACTGTCCACCGACTGAGCCAGCCTGGTACACCCTTTTTTTTTTAATTTTAATTTTTAAATGAAACTGGTTCTTATTTTTATTTATTTATTTTTTAATATCCTGTGAGGGACACCTGGGGGGCTCACTCAGTAAAGCAACTGCCTTTGGCTCAGGTCATGGTTTCAGGGTCCTGGAATCGAGTCCCGCATCAGGCTCTCTGCTCAGCGGGGATCTGCATCACCCTCTGCCTCTCCCCCTGCTTGTGTGCATTCACACACACTCTCTCTCTCTCTCAAATAAATAAATAAAATCTTCTAAAAATATAAAATAAAATATCCTCCAGATGGTCTTAGATTCCAGCTCTGCCACGAACATAAAACCGAGTCCCTCTACATGTTCTTCAAGGCCGTCTGTTTTTTGCCTATGTGTGTTTTCTGTGTTACTAATCTCTGGTTCATTTCCTTCCGCCTGCTCTGAGCAGATTTGTTTTGAGGGTTTTTGCAGGAAAGGGGAAAAAAAAGAATGCTAGCTCTTTTGCAGAGAAGGGTTCTAATGTCTTAGATTAACTGAGTGGCAGGCCAACTCCTTCCTGCTGGTTGGAAAGTGAAGGTGCTGGAACCGGGGCCCTCGAGGGCTACCTTCTGGGGTCACTTTTGTTTTAAACGGCCTGCGTGGTGCTTCTAATTCCCTGCTGTCTCAAGACTTCCTTTGGGAAAACATAATTTTGTTTTTTAAATAGTCAGAGCCCCCCCCCCCCCCGCCCCTTCTTCTTCTTTAGTTGGGAGTTGACTGGGTTATGGTGTTTTGTTTTGTTTTGTTTTGTTTTGTTTGCAGACTCAGAAAACGTGACTGCACTGTCACTGGGATTTTGAGTTTTCTGTGAGGCTGCCCAAAGATGCTTGCAGGGAAGACGGGATAGATGCGGGTTCAGTCAACCCTTGAAGGCATCTCTGGACTGTGGGTTTTATCCCCTCTTTAGCAGGCCCCGCTGAGGGAGACCCAGCTCCGGGTCAGGACGGGGGTCTCTCTGCAGCGGGAGGACCTCCCAGGAACCCCCGGGGGTCTGCCTCTGGCTTTCAGCACGAGATCGGGCACAGACAAACAGATGTCAGTGATGCTCTCAGTCTGTTTTCCTACGTTCTGAACTTGAGGAAATCGGAGTGTATGTAAGACATACTCCTGGTCGGACCCCACCCAACCAGCCCCGTGACCAGTGAATGCCCAGGATTCCTTGTCGGCCAGGCCACCCTGCACCCACGGAATCCGGGATTTCACAAACAGGATGCTGCTGTACTCACTTTTTTTTCTCTTTTTTTCCACGTGCTCTGTTTTTCCTTTCAAGTTCTTTTTAAATCTCGTGACCTCATGGGTCACCATGCTTAGGCTCCATATTTAGCACGAGACGCCATGTGGGGCTGTTTGCCATCACAGCCCCGGCGAACGCTGCTTTGCCCATTTTTTCCAGTTCCTCATTTTGCCCCCATAGGAGTGTTCAGCGGTGATGCCACGGTAAGGGGAAAAGGATTAAAAATACATATGCCCATGCAGTTGTGAAAGGGAACCAGCTCGACCCTTGCTACAATGTATACGACCCTTGCTACAACATATACAAACCTTGATACAATGTATATGACCCGTGCTACAATGTGTACAGACCTTGCTACAATGTATACAAACCTTGCAACTGTGTCTGGGAATGCAGACCCAAAAGGCTCCATCAGCCCAGCTCTGTGAAGCTGCACAAATAGACAAATCCTGGTAAAAGAAAGTACATTAGTGTTTGCCAGGGGCTGGGGAAAGGGGGTGAATGAGGCCCAGTTAGGGGGGCATGGGGGGGTGATGATATTCTGGAACTAGACGTAATGTTTCCACCACATAGCAAAGGTGCCCCACGCCACTGACGTGCACGCCTAAGAGGGAAGGACACGGTCCATTTTGTGGTTATGCCTACTTGTCCACGATAAAAAATTAAAATTTAAAAAAATGGTCAAAAGCTAAAGTGCAGAGCAAAACAGAAATACATGTATGAATATGTAAATGGGTCAGACAAAATCCCCTGCCCGGCTAGAAGGCCAGCACGGGTTGAGGAGCGAAAACACCGCCTATGGTTGAAATCAGCAGGAAACCGGGATGCAAGGGGTTCCCGGGCATCCTGCTCGGTCATGGCAGAGACGGGAGGGACCTCGCCTTTTCTGCCAGACACAACCCGTGAGGCACCTGTTCTCTGTCCTGATCCAAAGGAAGCATCCAAATCCCACATTCTATTTCTGTTTTTTTATTATTGTTATGATTTTCATTGTATTAAAAGTCCCATCTTTTCAACAAGTGGGAAATTGTATGTTGGAGCAAATTTCTTGCCGAGACAGGAGGCAGGAGCCCCTTACGGACACTCCAGATGCAGAGGCTTCCGGGCCCCTGACAGACACCGCTGGGACCCAGAACCCCAGAACCCGGCTGCATCCCCTTCAGCTGTAAAAGAGATTCACACACGTGTCCAGGAGACCCCGTGCTGTTGCCCGTTTTCTAATGGATGCTAACAAAGAGGCAGGAGGTGTATTTTATCCTTTTTGGAACTAGAAAAAAAAATATATATATATATATTTTAAGATTTGCATTCGGCCTCAGGATGGGTGATGACTGGGACAGTTTTGTGAGCCCTTGATGATTGAAGAAGGTGCTTTTCTCCTCATCTTGCTCACAAACAGGCCCCGATGTATTAAAACTTCTTTTCAAACATTTTCCCCCCCAAAAAACCTCTGAATGGGTCCCCTGCTGGTGGCCTCCTGGTTGGCGTTTTAAGGCCGTCAATCACCCGATTTTTATGTAAATCTGAGATTTTCCTGCCTGGATGTTTTAAAGGGGCTCTTTGTTCTTTGTATAATTCCTAGGCTGTTCCCCTTACGAAGAGCTTGGGGGGAACCCTCCCCCTCTCCCCAGCCCCAGGTCGTCCTCGCTGATCATCCTTTTTCAAAATGCGTATTTGTTTTAGGGTTCCCGAGCAACCGTTTCTGTTTGTTTGTTTGTTTCGTGCAGGAAAATCTTTTCGCGATAAAGGGTTTCTGTAGACTCGGAAATGGCACGTGTCCTAATGTCATTTCTAGGAAAAAAAATAAATCATCCTTTTATTTCCTATGGCAGAATCATTTCGCGATTTGAGTCCTCATTGATTTTCTTTACACAAGAGCAACCCCCTCCCTGCCCCAGGCCTGGTGGGCCTGGTAAGTGCCAGGTCACCCAAGTGTCTCCAGGACCCCTGACCCCTCCCCCATTGTCACCTGGCCTTGCTTCCAGAATCGTGGATGCTTCCTGAATCCCCTTCCAGAAGCTGTGCTGGAGGGCAGACCTGGCTGGATTCTCAGGGATATCCACGCATCTGATCTCCCCCCACCATCCCTCCCTGACCCCCAGGGCACTGTGGCCACTCACCCCCCTGCATCCCCAGTAACACTTCTTGGGGAACTTAATCAAACACAGATTAAGTGTTAAGAAAGCCTCCCGCACAAAGACAAAACAGCCGTATTACTACAGGAGCATTAATAAAATGCGTTCACAATTGATCACATCAACCAAGACCCCCCAAATGAGGACAAAGGAGGCTCCGGCCAGGATGTTGGCCACCAGCTCTGACCTTGGGCAGAGCCTCAGAGTCACGCAGAGGACTGGGAAAACTGTATCGTGGTGCAGGCACGCAACACCACTTTTGTCCACCCTCTTAAGTTCTGTCCGCGAGGCTCTGCAAATTAAAATGACAAAAGACAGACAAACTGAGAAAAGGCATGCACATTCTGTGTGCTGTTAAACATTTTAGGTGGCATGATGTGGATGTCTTGATAGAAAGAAGAAAATGCCCCCAAAGGAGTGGTTAGACCTGAGAGTTTGTATATGGTTTTTCACGAAGAGCAGATATATCGCACAGATGTGACAAGCGGCAGGAAGAGTGTTGGAGGCTGCTAAGGGCAGCAAATTGCGGGGGAAGATAGATATTTGAAGGACACTCTTGGAAGACATGGTTCATGTCAGTAGGGTGGTTTGTATGGCTCCGTCTTGGTGCTGACTTTCTGCCTTCTTCATGGTCCTAAAACTTCCCCCAGAGAGAGAGAGCGGGAATCCGTGTCATGTGTGTTTCTACAGGTTTCTGCTGTTAGTCTGATCAGGGAAGCTCCAGGAAGGTTTCTTTCTGTATCTGCTGGTTCTCGGTTGCTTCTGGGTCAGAATAATCCTTACGCAGCACTGGAAGCAAGGGCAGAATCAGGGACACTGTTGGTATCCCTCAGATCCTGGCCATTCTGGGCCAGGTGTGAGCTCATTGCATTAGTGCAGGGCGAGTGGTTTCCCAGGCCTCTCACTCAGCAGGACCTGTGGGCTGGTTATTATAGGCAAGGGTAGGTTTTCTGCAGGTCTTGGGGCAGGTGATCATTTGGGGGAACCAGGGGAAGCATTGGGTGAAGTTTGTCTTGCAGATTGGGGTCGATTTCCAGGTTGCTGGGTGTCTGCAATTGTCTCTGCCAGCGGGATTCACTCTGCCTTTCTTGGTCAGACCCACGGGGTGGGGACGCCTTCTGAAAAGGAAACGTGTGCCTGGGTTTTAGGCACAAAGGAGGGCAGTGAGTTTGTGTGTGTGTGTGTGTGTGTGTGTGTGTGTGTGTGTGCACCTTGCTTTCAGCTCAAAACAATCGTTGCACCCAAGTGGCCTCTTTGGGGTGACCTGTTCCCAGCATCAGAGGATCAGAGTCGGGGGAGGGATTCTCAATAATCATTTGAGTGGGATTCTTTGCCAAAACCGGGCTCAGTAGGTCAGGCATGAGACCTAGCGTGCAACAGGCTTGGAAAGGGGTCCGAGGGGTACTCGATCCAGGACGGGGACGCCCAGCCGTGGACCTCTCCCGGGGCGGAGTCAGGTTCAGGGGAGCCCAGAGTGCATGTGTGATGTGTGGGTTCTCCATGGCTCCCTTTCCAGGTCAGAGAGGACAGCACGTACTTCTGCATCTTCCGAAACCGCGTGCTGCATAGGGGAGCCAACCTGACCGTGAGGGTCACCTGTGACGGGGCCAAATTCCAGGAAGTCTTGCCTTTTGCGAACCCAGGTGAGGTCCCCTGAGCAGCTGGGCGCCCGGCTTCCGCCCGGCGCCGTGGGCACCCACTCGCGTCACCACTCGGGGGCTGCTTGTGGCGATGCCGCCTCTGAGAGCGTCGCTGGGTGTCTTCCCAGGCAGGGAAGGTTCCGGCGCCATGAACTTCTCCTGCTTCATCTACAACGTCTGTCTCATGAACTGCAGCTGGGCGCCCGGCCCCCGAGCCCCCGCCGACGTCTGCTACCGGCTCTTCTGGTGGGCCTCCCTGTAAGCCGGACGCCGTCCCTGCACCACCGGGGATCTATGTGGGGATCATAGCGGGAGAAGCCCAGCAAGTCGGGGGACCCCAGGGGGCTCCTCCCGAAAATGTCACAAAATCACAGAACCCTGGGAGGGGAGATGTGGCGTCTTTGCGGCCGCCTAGCTCTGAGTTGCAAACCGTCCTCCCGTCCTAAAGAGAGGACGAAAGCCACAATTTTGTGATGTTTATTGTGCACGGAATGGTTGTGATGGCTTTGCCCTGCAAAGGGCGGGATCCGCCCCTGTCTGTGCCACGTCTTGGCCGATTCCCTACGACGCATATCCCGTTCTGGTTTTGTGCTTATTTGCGGACGGATTTGTATCAGTTTGCGGTTTTTTGTTTTTTGTTTTTTGGGTTTTTTGGGAGGCTTTTCTGGGTTGGGGAGGAGGTCTCCTTGCTGATAATGTCTGCCCAGAAGGATACACAGTCAGGCTTTTCCCGCATCCCTTTTGCAAACGACAGGCACGAGGACGAGGCGGAGTGCGTGCATTACATCACAGACCCCACGGGGACACGCGTGGGCTGCCATTTCGATGAACTTGGTGAACCCCAGGGTATGGATAATTACTTCTTCCTACTGAATGGGACCAGCAGTGAGACCGCAATCCCGTTTTTGGACTTTGTTCCATTTGAAGCCCGTAAGATTGGTAAGACGCTCCCGAGACCTGTGTCCTCCCCCACCTGCCCCCTAGCCAGGAGAGCGGGCTTCACGCATCTGGGCTCACATCCTTGCCCTGTGGGACGTAGTCCTGGGTTCAGGACCAGCCTGAGCAAGGTCCAACGTCGGCACTCGAGGTCTGGGGAACAGAGAGAGAGAGACGGGCATGGCGGCCCTGACTGTCCCCTTGCGGTGGGATGCAGGAAAGGCATGTGTTCATGTCACGTACCCATTTTTGTTAATTTCTGCAAATTCCCTGCAAATCCTGAATTTGCAAAACCCAACTTATCATGGCTGCCGGGGTGGAAATACAGGGTCTGTCGTGTTATAACCGTGTTTCTGTTTAAAGACTTCTTACATAATGTACATTGCTGATGAATTAATGGCTCACCTAACGCCCACAGCCTATACCTCAAGACTGAACAATGCTTATCGCATGTGTGTATTTTCTCCAACAGTCACATCATGACCTTCGTGTGTGTAGGGATGCAAAAGAAGAAAAAAGTTTTCCTCTACGCTCTTAGGTTCTGTAGGCAGGGCTTGCAAATTAAACTGACAGACGCTCTATTAACAGGAGAAAAGCATGCAAATGTCATTTTAATTTTTAAGTTTGATATGCATGGGGGAGGGCTTCACAGAAAATAAAGGAAAATGTCCCAAGGAAGTGGTTAGATTCAGGGACTTATAAACAACTTTTTAAAATTTTTTACTTAGATACCATTTTAATAAAAATCAATTAACTGTGGAGTTAAATGAAAATGGATTTGTGCTTTTAGAAGTGGTAAATATATACGGAAAATAATAGGAGAGAGGGTTGTATTAGTGAGGGGTTTTTTGGTGCAGATACGATTTCGTGCTGACTTTCACGGACAGAAAACTTCCCCAGAGACGGGATTTGTGGCAATCTTAATTTCTCAGAAGTTTCTGGTTTTAGTCCGATAAGGAAAGCTCCAGAAAGTCTTCTTTCTGTATCCACGACTCTCGGTTGCCGGCGGTTCCAAATAACCCTTGTGCCAAAGTGTCCTGTTTTGGAGACGACGTGCCAGTCCCCTTCGTGCAAATCAGACAACACCCCAACTGCACGCTTGGGGGCCGTTTCACACGGTGATGTCGCCAACCCAAAGCGCAAAAGCGGGAATGACAGCGCACTCCACAGGCCACAGAACAGGCGCTGGTTTGCAATCCGGGAGCAGAAACCAGAAAACAGAGCTTTGCTGTGCACCGCATCATACGGGTGTATGCCCGTGGGGTGACCCCCATTTGTATTTTAATTTTTGCCCACTCTGCGGATTTCTGCAAATAACCTGGAGCATCATCTGTATCTTGCGTCGAAGGAAGGGGTCCTCAAGCCATGTCCTTACGGCGTCTGGCTCTAGACAAACCGTCTGGTGGATTGGTTGGCATTTTTGACTCAGCCGAGCGCTTGGAGGCTTTTAAGACGACAAACGGTCAACCTGCTTTGGTGTGTGCACACAGATCCTGGGTGACTTAGGTCCCCAGAGTTGTAGGGTGTCCCGGAGATGAGGCACAGAGAAGGAGGACATGCGTGTCTGCTGGCGTCCTTACCTGGGGTCCCGGCAATCTGCAGCAGGGACACGGAGGGTGGGTACTCGACCAGAAGGGGTGGCCAGCACCACGGAGGGGACAGTCCTCTTCATGCACCGTCAGCTGGCTTGAGCCCTCCCGTTCCAAGCCCAGTTTGCCTTCTGTGTTTTGTTTTGTTTTGTTTTTTTCCTGCAGAAGAAGAAATATAGGACAATTTCCTACAGAGGTGCAAACCGCCAGGAGCCCCCTCCATAACTGACCCCTGGGCGTTTGGGAGGGTTTTTGCTGTTGTTTCTGTGTTATTTCCCATAGAAAAGTACGACCCCCCAACAAACATCACGATCGCCCGCAACACATCACATCACATTATCCGGTGGGAGAACCCCGAGATGAGATACGAGATTTCGACTCAAGTCTTGTATTATGAGCTGGACATCCAAAGACCGGTAAGAGCCCCCGACCTCGGCGAGGGAACTACAAGCCGTGCTCGGTCCCGTCTGCTCATGCAGAGCTCAATCCTGGCTCACAGACCAGAGACTCTGCTCCCGAAATTTGTTCTCTGGGAACTCCTGTGCCCTATACCCCACACCCGTGGTTCATTCCTTTTTTTTCCCTCCATGAAATCTGCTTCTTTATTTTTAGTTTTTAAAACTAATCTCTATGCAAAACGTGGGATCCCAAGACCGAGGGTTGCACGGACCTCTGCCTGAGGCAGCCCGGGAGCCCTGAAATAGTTTATTTATTTATTTTTTTGAGTCACTTTAAGTTTGTAACAGAATTGAGGGGAAGGTCAAGGGGCATGCCCCACACTTCTCGTGGTCCACACATGCACACTCTGCCCATCACCGTTCCCATTAGCTGCCTTTTCTAGAACATCAGAGTTGAGACCCTAACAGGACGCAGCCCCTTTCTTAGCCTTTTTGGAAACAAAACGTGAAAATGGGCTGGGAATGGGCGGCTCACGACAGGTGCCCTGGGAGCAACCCTGAATCTTCAGCTCGCCCACCTGCTCCCCGTCTCCTCAGCACACCCGTGCCGAGAGAGCTTCTGCAACCTGAGATCTGGTTGCGTCCCCGAGTCCTGGAAATTGGGGACTTCCCACAGGACACTCAGCATCTCTGTTTCCCCATGGCCTGGGGCCTCACCATGCACCCCAAACCCAGAGCCAGGGACGGAAGGTGACTCCGGGATTCAGCCCCGAGCACCCCAGACCTCAGGGCCTTTGCACATACCTCACAGACGCAGCTTCCTGAGCACAAGGATGCTTTCGTTATGCGTATGGCAATGGCAGAGCTGGATGCTCTGGGCACACAGTAGGTGCTCAGTAAATGTTGCCGGCCCCGTCCCACACCCGCATGGTCCTTGACATCACAGTTTCCACATACTTCAGGGCTCTGCAGGTGACCCCCAGGCCCCGCCCAGGTGTGAACTACTCATGGCGGGTGTCTTTCAAACCAGAAATGAGGTCGTGTCCCTTCTGTCCTTACAACCCTTGCGAGGTTGGGTGTGGGTCTTGGGTTAGAGTCAGAGCCCTGGAGACGACCCCCGGGAGTCTGTGGCATCCAGCCCTGCCTGCCCACATCCTCCTCCCCGGGGCTCCTGTGACTGACATCACATGAGGGACCTCCCATAAGTGACCTGTCACAGATGACCGTACACAGGGAACTATGCCCAGCTGACCTCACACGGGTTCCAGGCAAGTGATCTCAGGCAGGTGGTAACACAGGTGACCTCACACCGCTGTGCAGGCCTGAGCGTCCCGTGCGTGTGAAGCCCTAGGTGGGCCGCGAGCTCCGCTCCGGCTTTCTGCCCAGAGCCTGGCGGGCGCACTCAGAAGGTCTCTGAAGGTCTCTGAGAGGGTCAGTCCTCACTAGACATTTGAACATCTAGTGATGCAGGAAAAAGCTACTCTGGGCGTTGCCTTCTCCTTCCTTGCTAATATCCCCGGAGCAAACTCAGCAGCCAGAGACAAATTCACAATAAGGAAACTTTGTGATGAGGAGGAAAAGCTGTTCCTCCACCCTCTTAGGTCCGGAACCTGAGGGCAGTAAATTAAATAAAGGAGGGAGGGCAAAGACATTCATATGCATATAAGAGCTTACAAAAGATGTGGCTCTTGAATAGCTCAAGTAAGGAGCTTACTACCTACCTAACCAGGGGACAGGGAGAGGGAAAGAAAAAACTTCCAGAAGAGGGACAAATGGGTTTCTAGAAGAAACAGGGGATAAGAACAATAGTGTTGATGCTTGTTGAGGCAGGTACCAGTAGTCTTGTTTGTCTTCTTCTGGGCGTGAAAGTCCCCTGGAGATGGAATTTATGACACATTCCCCGTCCATCCTGGAAGGGACGTCTCCCCAAAGGGGGAACTGATGGCATGCCTCATTCCCGGTTGTCTGCTCTTTGGCAGATAAGGGAAGCTCTGAGAAGGGTTCTTCATACCAGTTCTGGGGGTCCAGGCGGGTTCCCACATTTGCATGTAATGCTGAAACCCCAGATGCTAACAATCCTCCCTTTTGTTACAGGATAGCGCTTCCAAGACAAACCCCGTAAGTATCTCTTCTTTCTCTATGCCTCCTTTGCGTGGACCCGGAGTCACATCAAGCATCAGTGTTCACAGATCACCTCGCGGTGGGGCCCCCATTAGCCCCTTCGTGGCCATCAGGCTGTTAGTTTCAGATTGAGAAGCTGTGTTTTCTGGAAAGCCTCTGACTCAGCTCAAGTCACGGGTCACTGTCTACCCCGTGGACAGAGCAACGGTGTTCTTCCAGACGCGACGCCTTGGACCTTTCCAGTTCAAAGTTCATCGTGCGTTAAACACCGTCCTGCAAAAACTCATGTTGCCCAGATGCTCAGAACAGAGTCTGGTTTAGAAACAGCGTCTTTGCAAATAAAAGGGAAGGATCTTAGATGAGGGCGGCCCTAAATCCAAGACAAGTGTCCTTGTAAGAGACAGAAGAGGAGACACAGACACAGAGGAGAAGCCACGGGAAGATGGAGGCAGGGATGGGAGGGACGCGGCCACCAGCCCAGGGACGCCTGGAGCCCCAGAAGCTGGAAGCGACAGGAAAGACCCTCCCCTGGAGCCTCAGGAGGGAGCACAGCTCTGTCCTGCTTGCATCTCAATGGCCCTGCTCTGCCTGGATCTCAGTGGGGCTTCTGGACTCCAGAGCTGGGGGAGGATAGTTTTCCGTGGTTTTGAGCTGTGGTGTATGTGGTCATTGTCCCTGTCACCCCAGGGCACTCACACAGAGACGAGTATCCCCGTGTACCCTCTCAAGGGCAGCAGGAACCCCCCACCTCTCAGAATCTGTCTCATCCTTCACCTGGGTTCCTGCAGGCATCACCTGCTCCTACGCGATGCCGGTGCCACCGGCAGGATGCTGCCCGTGGGCCACACTGGCAGCGGCCGGGACAAGTGCAAAGAGGGTTGGTGGCAGTCTGAAGGTGTCCCTGGAGGCTGGCCTTGGGGAGACAGGTGTCCTGTCTGGGCCCCATCGGCGACTCGGACGACATATGAGACCTGGTGCACCACGGACATTGGACAAGCAACATGTACAGCTTCTCGCTGCCTCGGGGGCTCTCCTTGGGGAACTGGGGGAATCCCTGTTGTTGCCCTCAGCTTTTCTCTGCATGGGCTGGCCTGGAAGCTCCCTCGATCCATGCTGGGGCCCGTCCAGTACCTGCCCCAGGGCTGTTGTGGCTGAGGGGCGAGTAGCATGGGATCCTCAGGGTCCAAAAGGAGCCGCACAGCTGATAAAGGCAAGATACTTCATCACGGGCGGGTGAGAAGAAACTAGGTTCTTCCAGGCAGGAGGAACAGCGAACAACATGTCCTGGGGCTTCTGGGTTGTGCAAACTTGGGTCACTGTCCATTCTCCTATCTACGCTGCAAAGAAACACCAGGGCCCCTGGAGCAAGCAGGGGGGTAGGGGGCTCTGTGCCTCCCACTCCGCCCCCAGGACGCGGTTGGATGAGACGGGGATTTGCTGGGGGTCATGGCGCGTGAGGAAATGCATCCCTGCCCCCGTGGACCTGCAGGCTGGGCCTCCTTCTCCTCGCTGACCGCTTAGTGTTCCCGTCAGTCTTACTCCGCTGGTCTCTGGAGACCGGCACATGCTCTGTGCCGTGGACGCAGAGGTGGTCCTCATCCAGAGGGACACGTGAGGCCTGTCTCAGAACTGGCCTCATTTTGGCCCCAGGAGGGGATGGCAGACCCCTGGAGCCCGGCCAGCTCTGTCGCATTCAGAGTCCAGCTGTGCCCCCAGAAACCGCGAGGCCAGGTGGGGCTCCTGTCCACGCACCCACCCTCGGCTGTCAGTGTATAGATTTGCAATAACCGCAGGTCGGGCCCTGAGGGCGTGGGGACTCTGCGCTAGCGGTCGGCGCAGCTCGGGAAGCCGTGCGCCAGGGCGTGGAGTCCACCTTCCCACGGGAGAGCCCCTTAGGGTCCCTGCTTGGGGCCAGAGAGATGCGCGGATGTCCTGGGCCTCAGGTGTCGTCCCTGCACGGACCCCAGTCCTCAGACTCCAGGGGACCCTCCCGCGTCACCAACGCTGGTCCCAGACGGTGCCCTCTTCTCTTCAAGGTTTTCCAGAGGGGACAAGACGCGAATGTGTACGTGGTGCCGCGTTCTGCTGTCAGGCCGGACACCACGCTCCGGGTGAGGGTGCGCTATCTGTATAACGAGCTCTGGAGCGAGTGGAGCCCGACACTGCGTCTTGGTGAGCGCCCGACTCCCCGTGCGCCGCGGATGGATATTGGACGGGGTCCCCCTGCGCGGCTCCTCTTCCGGGTCTTACCAGGACAGCTGCCGTTGCGTCCAGGGCGAACTCATCTGGAACCCCTCACTTCATCACACCTGAGATGGTCCTGTTCCCATAAGGGCCCGTTGCCAGGTTTTGGGGTTAGGGCGCACGTATCTTTTGGGGGATCCTTTGAGCGCACAAGCACCCCACCCAGCGGAGGTGGCTCGGGACAGGCCTTAAGGCTCTCTGCCGAAACACACCACCTTTAGTGTGTCCTGCTGCTGTGCGCCCCCTCCCGCGCTCCTGGGATCACCGTAGGAGGACGACCCCAAGAAGGAGCCACAGGGCACAAGCCCCCGTGGGCTACTGTTTCCTTAGCCCTGCTCAGGTGGTCTGGAAAGCCCCAGATGATGGCCACACCCCAACCGAGCGGTGTCCCTTTCCCCAGAAGGGTCAGCCAGGGCCCAGGGGAGCTCCACCCGTCCCCTTGGATGCCCAAACACCCCCTCTCCTTTATGGGGTCAGCGAGGGATATCCCAGAGCTTGTGGTTTGCAACGTGACAGCTCTCACCATGCGGTAGCGCTGGCGGCAGGAAACGGAAATGGAGGGTTTTATGGCGCTCTGGGGGCCTGAGGGCGGGGGGTGTCCCTCACCGGGCCTCTCAGCGTACTTCCTTGCAGGGGTGGCAGAAACCCCATAAGACAGGAGTCCCACACATCCGTTCTGGGGAGCAACAGGGCAGGAGCTCCGAGTATGCCCCAGCTGGATGCCCTCTCCCAGAGGACCCCCGAATGCAAGTGTGGGGCTCCTTCTTTCCAGAGAACAGGTTCACGGCTCTCCAGAAGTTGCACAGACCGCCCAGGTCACATCAGGGTTCCCCAAGGAAAGTCTCCAGGGCAATATAGAATACACCCCTGTCCCACCCTGGAGTTTCACAGTTACGCATTCATTCCTTTGGCTACGTAGCACCGTGTTGAAAGTGAACGTCCATGAGAAGGAATGCGTTGCGTGGTACTAGTTGTGTCCTTGCGCAAATGTCTATGGTGGATGGTCTCTCGGGCGTAGGGCATGGAGGAGACGGGCTGGGGACCTCCGGGGGGGCGGCGTGGGCACAGGACCCGAGGGAGGGTCCATACTCCCCCGCCGGCCTTCCGCCTCCTCTGGAAGGCTGGTCTTCCTCCGCTGTAGCCCTGCTTCTGCCAGCATGCCCCTAATCCTCCAGTAACGGGGTCGAGGGTGGGGGGGCGCATGTGCGCAAAGCTGACGCCCCACTCCCGCGCTCGCGCTCCTGACCCTCTGCCTCTGTCCCCGACCAGGCCTCCCGGAGCAGGATTTCCACGGCGCCCTGGTCGGGGTGCTGGTGGTGGCCACGGCGGTGCCCACGCTGGTCCTCGTGTGCTTCTGCAAATGGTGAGCCCCCAGCCCTGGACCCAGGACCGCCTGCCCCCGCCCTTCCCACCGCAGTGCAGGACCCCAGAGCGCGCAGGATGGCCAGGGGAGGGCGAATGCAGAGTCCAGGCTCGGATTGCAGGTTGCTGAGGGCTGGCGAGGAAGGCGGAGTGACTGTCCAAGCGGTGCGGGTCGGGGCGTCTCCCGCTGCGCCAGCCGCGTCTGTCCGGGGCCACATGGCCACAGCGGCGAGGTCGGTCTGGACGGTGCGAACCGGGTCTGGCCGCTGCAGTGCGCGCGGGGTTTCTGTAGGAGGGGTAGGGGGCCGGGGCTCCAGGGTGCGCCCCCCGGCTTGCTGGGCCCTAAATGGTATCCCCCTCCACGGCAGGTACAGTCTGTTCCCCCGCATCCCGCAGGTGAAGAAAGAACTCACCGGGACCCTCTTCTCCCCGGAGGTGGGTGCGCCTGTTCCCGGTTCCCAGTCCGGAGGCCGGGGCTGCTCCGAGGGTTACGGCGTGGTTGGGCAGGGGTGTCCTGAGCTCGCCAATGCTGGCGTGCAATTCCGAGGGAGGGGAGAGGCATGGGGGTCCAGCTGCCTTCAGCACAAAAGTCCATCCTCCTGGGAAGGGGACCTCACCACAAAACTCACAACTTGGGGCTTAAGACAGAAGCAGCCCCTGGAGCAGGGGAAGGGGGGTGACCCTATTTCCCTGCCAGAAATGCCAGTCCAGTCCTCAGGCACCGGGAGTGCTGGTCTCCCTCTCCCCAGTCAGACAGCCCTCATCAGGAGACCCCGAACCTATTACATGGGTACAGACCCTGTTTCCACACAGAGCTATCTCTCGTGGTTCTGGCTGGACGTGGAGTCTGCGGACCACCACTCAACCCCTGACCATGGTTCCCTGGGGTTGCCGCTGGCTCTCGGGTGAGGGCCCCTCCCCAGGATGGCACCACTGCTCCTTCTGACCCTCCTCGTGCATCAGCCCCACATTCTGCCCGATGATGAGCAGAGGGACGCCCCCAGCACAGGGGCTCTAGTTCAGGCTGGAGGCTGTTTCCTTGGGAAGCCCACCCCCTTGGGCTCCCCCTGGGGCTTCCACGAGGCCCGGGTGTCCTCCCAGCGGGGTTGAGGGTTCATGGAAAAAATTGGGGTGAGGTTGGGGCTTTTGCAAGGGGCTTTGCCGTGGGTCTCAATGTTCCAGTGGGAAGGCCTTGTTGAGTTAGGGGACCAGCCCGACTTCTCGGGGTTCCGTCCACAGCCCACACTGTGGCTGGCACAGGTGGTCCCCAGACCCCTTGCAGGACCCCCTCCTGTAACACAGTCCAGGAAATGCTGCTCGTCTGAGAGCCCAGAGCAGCCGGCAGGTGGCTGTCAGGACCCCTACTTCACAGTCGGCACAAAGGGACCCCCCCCATAAGGTCCGGGATAGAAACAAGATTTTCAGGCTCAGGCTGGCTGGGGTCACCCCCTCTTATACAGGGGGGCCTCCCTGAGTCCTGAAGCAGTCATCCCCTGGGTCCCCCATGGCCGCCACCGTCCAGGCTGGAAGGATCTGTGTCCTCCAAGAGGGACTCTGACACCCCCTCTGTCTGGTCCCCGGAGCCTTTGCACCCCCCAGAGGAGAAGCCGTCCCCGTGATGGGTCCGTTCCATCCCCTCCCCAGCTCCCGACGACACGCGTCCACATTCTGTGTGTGGATTTGCCTGTCCCGGACATTTTGGATCTGGGGGTCCCATGCTACGAGGTCTTACCTGTCTGTTCTCCCCCAGAGCATCGTGCTTTCAGGGTCCGTCCACGGGGCAGCAGGTGGCAGAGCTCTGCTCCGTTCGTGGCTTAGTGACTTTCCCCCGCGTGCACTAGAGGGAGGGCGTGTCCACCCTTTGGCCACGGGGAACCACGCAGATCCGCACAGGCACTTTCTCGGTGGCACAACGAGGAGCTCGCGTGTGGGTGCCCTCAACGCTGCCCGTCTTCTGTCTCCCAGGTCTCCTGGGACGAGGGCCGCCCTCCGCCAGGCTCCCAGGAGCCCGAGGACGTCCTCATCGTGGAGGACCTGTCGTGACGGGCGTGGCTTCGGCCTCTCCCCGTGCCCCCCGCCTCCCCGGAAAATGTCGCGCAGGAGCATCGCACGCTCACGTCTGGGGACGATGTCTCCCCCGACCCCCACCACCGCCACCCAGACCCCGGCCGCACGGCTTTCTGGCTTCGTGCTGGCGTCCACGCCGGGGGCGCTGTATGCGTCTGACGGGCGTTTCCTTCCTGATTTCTGTATTTTTGACTCCGGGAGAAATAAAATAGTTCTACGGTGGGACACGAGTGGGCACATTTGGGGGGACAAAGTCGCGTGTCGGGAGCGGGTTTTGAGGGGAGAAGTCCGTGTCCTGGCCGGGCTGCTCTGATTCTGCAAATGGCCGGGAAGGAGCCGGTGTTGCCCCCTACGCTGTGGGGTTTGGTATGAATCCCGTCGCCGGTGAATAAAGGTTCTTCCCAAGACTCCCCGTCCTTAAACAGACTCTGCACAGCCCGGCCGTCTACACAGGACGCTGGGGTCGAGAGCACGAGGTCGTCTGGGGAAGCGGGAAGCGAAACCGAAAGTGGGGCAGGTGGGCGTCCTCGGAATATAGGACTCCTGCCGGGTGGGCCCCGGGGCACGGACAGGCTGTGGTTCTCCGTGGGACAGACGCCCACGGCACCACGTTGCAGGTGGGGGAGGTCCGTCTCCAGAGACGTGGGCAGACCCGACCCAGCCCCCCCAGAGAAGCAGGTGTCTCTGTCCTCGAGTCATGGACGGACGCCTGAGGTTCTGCCCTGTCGAGGGCTTTGCTCAGATCTTGCGAGGGGCACGTGGCCGGGCCGGGGAGGAGAGTGGCTTATGCCGGACATGCCCCCTCGGGCCCATCTCTGTTCGGGGTCGGGCTCAGGAGGGGCTGCACTCGCAGAGGAGGGTTCAGCGTCCTGTGGACACTCAGCTCTCCCAGCAGGTGCCTGGAAGCCTCCCATCGAGCTCCCCCAGCCCCCCGCTCCTTCCTCGCATCCCTCCTGGTGTCTACACTGGCCGCCTGCACGGTCGAGCCCCGCTGCCCCGAGGGATCCAGCCTCCGACCCCCAGGCCGCCTCTGACCCAGGGGGGCATTTGGAGAGGACCTGACTCCCTGGACAGGGTCCTCTGGACCCCGACCGCCACACAGCCTCCGAGCGGCACTGATGACACGACATTTGGTGACAACCCCAGGAACACTGACTCAGCTGCTAAAAAATTAAAATAAAATAAAAAACCAAGCAGGCTGGGGGGCCAGTGGGTGGGTGATGGCGGCAGCCTGGGATTCCAGCAGTGGCTGTGGACAGACCCTGGACCTCCCAGGATGGGTTCCTGGGACGGCGGCTGCCTCGGGACGGCCCCGCAGCGTCTCAGCCGTTAACAGAAAGTCTCCGAGGATCCCACCAGCGATGCCTTCCGGACGCTGGGCAGACGCGTTGCCCATTTGGAAACTCTGCGGAGTGGGGACATGGAAACGCGTGTCCACAGTTATGGGAACGCAGTCGGGGGGGAAGGGATGGGGAAAGACGGCCACCGGATGTCCCCCCCGAGGGGCAGACACCAGGCAGCCAGGACTGGGATGAGGGACCTGGGGGTGGCTCTTCCTGTCACCTTTGAGCTCGGGGCTCACGGGCGCAGAGGAGGGGGAAGGCGCTTGGTGAGCTTGGCCCAGCGCCCCTCTGTCACCGTTCTGCATGACCATATACCAAACATCGGGCTTTGGCTGTGACCATTTAAGGAGGAAAATGCTGTTCTGGGCTGTGTGTGCTCATTCGAGGACGAGGGAAGCCCATGGACACCCGGGTCGGGAGATGCTCGCTGTGATTACACGGGACAGCCCGATCCACTCACGGTCTACACTGTGGGGCGTCTGCGGGGCTCCGTCGGGGAAGCGTCTGCCTTCGGCTCAGGTCACGATCGCCGGGTCCTGGGATCGAGTCCTGCATCGGGCTCTCTGCTCAGCGGGGAGCCTGCTTCCCCTCTGCCTCTCCCCCTTCCCCTGCTCATGCTCTCTCTGTGTCTCTCCTGCAATAAATAAAAACCTTAAAAAAAGAAAAAAAAAAAAAACTGCACCGTGAAGAAACGTGTTTCACAAGAGGCACTGATGGCTGATAACGAAGGTTTGGTTGAAAAACATCCATGGTTTGTGTCGGGGCTTAAATACGCAGAAGAGGAGTCAGCGTCTTTCGAAACACGTCCACGCACCAAGAAAGAAAACCGAGTCCTCCCAGCAGAGGAAGCGGCCGCTTGCTATCGGCCGTCACGCCGGCCGAGATACCCGTGGGGCCACGTCAAGGAGCCGCTCCGTCAAGGTGTCGAGCGCGATAAGCAGACGGCGCCCCGAGATTACAGGAAGGACCCTGCAACCAGGGGGGCGCGGGCATGCGAGCCAAGGAGAGAAGTTTCCGTCGTAAACACCTGCTCTGCTTCCGCCGATGACCGCGACCCTCGAGCCGGGAGCCTCCAGTTTCGTGCACGGATTTGAGTTAAAACCGGAACCTGAGAATCCAGCCCTCACCGGGCCGGGCACCTGCAGGTTCTGGAATGGATGGGTCCTCTGTGCAACCTCTGTGGGTTTGGGACCCCATGGGGTGGCCAGGCAAGGCTTCCTGGGACTCAGGGCCAGAGTGAGGAGCCAGGGGTGACTGTTTAGGGTCGAGAGAAGAATAAGGAAGAACATTATTATGATGGGACCTTCAAGCCACGGGGTTCATCCTCCCCCCACTCCGGAGACCAGAGTCTGAGATCCAGGCGGGGCAGGGCTGTGCTCCCTCCTGAGGCTCTAGGGAAGGGTCCTTCCTCCTCTTCTAGCTTCTGGGGCTCCAGGTGTCCCTGGGCTGGTGGCTACACCCCTCCCATCTCTGCCTCCGTCCTCACATGGCTTCTCCTCTGTGTCTGTGTCTCCTCTTCTGTGTCTTAACAAGGACACATGCCATTGGATTCAGGGCCACCGTGGTCCAAGACAAGCTCACATCAGGTCCTTTATCATATCCGCAAAGACCCTATTTCCAAACAAGGGCCCCTTCGTAGCCTCCAACGGTCATACCTTTGGGGAGGCACCATTTGACCCAGCACGGTGACTGCAACTGCTTATTGTCAGGGGTGCCTGGGTGGTCAGTCAGTTAATCTTCCGCCTCTTGATTCTGGCTCAGGTCATGATCTAAGGTCGTGAGATCGAGCCTCATATCTCACACCGGGGGCGTGGAGCCTGCTTGAGATTCTCTCCCTCCCTCTCCTTCTGCCCCACAATGTGTAAGACAAAAATACAGGTAAATGAAAAGAAAATAGACAGAGTTTCTTTTGCTTGGTGAGCCAATTGCAGAAGACATTTGCGTCTCCTCGGGACAGCGTGCTGGTGGAGGGTACGCCCACGGCCTCTGGAGGAGAACTAGCCTCTGCACGGAGCAGAGGGCAAGCCTCAAGGACGTGGGCAAGGTTGTCCCAGAGCAGCTGCCCAGACACCTCAGAGCAAGGAGCACCTTCCCCTTCGGGGTGAGGGGGCAGAGCGTCTGGCGGTTCTGTTTTCAGCCGGAAAAGTGCACCAGCGGAGCCTCTTATCTTGGGGGAACCCCCTGGATGAGGACTTGGATCCTGCAGCCAGGCCCACCGGGTCCCAGGGCAAGGCCAACCTTAAAGCAGAAAGTGGCCCTGAAGCTCCCCACAGACGCTTAGGGGTCCTCGCGACTGGGTGTCTGCGTGACTCAGAGCTGACAAGGTGTCTCGGGTGAACATTTAGCCTCTGCTCGCGCCCTGGGCTCTTGGAGAAGCAGGACTGGGGGTCTTCCCCAGACCCCAGCACCGGGCGTGGAAAGGACGCCTCCATGCTGGGTCCCGGGTCCTGCTGCAGCTCCGAGGCACCCGGACCACCTGCTTCGCTCCGAGCTGCACACCGTGACCCACGGGGGCACATTGAAGGGTGCATCGCAGGGGTGGGGCAGCCAGGAGTCCGAGACAACCCCCCAGGCCGAGTCCTCCCTCCTTAAGAAGCCCTCACGGTGCCCCCTTACATCCCGAATCGGGCTTCACAACGGTTCTGCCCAGACCAGATGGCCGACCCCCCACATAATGGGACTTTTTAATTCGGAGGTAGGCGGTGCAGACGCAGGAGGCATTGTCCTCCCCTAATCTGCAGGGAAGACGGGGTAGAATTCTCCTGCTCCCTCCAAGGATGAGGCTCCGGAAACGCTCCTGAACACCGGGGGCGGGTGCTGTTTCTGTAACAGAGTCCGTGCGAACAGGGTCTGGGGTTGCCTGAGAAGGGTTCAACTCCCGCCCCCCGGACGGAGCAAATGAACTCAGAGGCGTCCACGCAGCTGGGCTACGGAGACGCTCCGACTATCCTACTCCTGCCGGTTCCCCCGGCCCCCCGGGAGCACGTGCCTGGCCCCAGCACCGCCGGGCGGGAAGACAAAGCCTTTCCGCCTAAATGAACGCGTCGACCGTATTCACGGGCGTACATACACCCGGTCCATGCGTGTGAATGAATAACATTAAAGAAACATATTAAAATACAGTGCTAGCGTTTATAGATGTCATCTCAACGTTAATGTGTCTACATCATGTACTACATGTAATACATGGTGGACGTTATCTAGAATACAGTTTAACATAATGCAATCATATATAATGTAACAATACGGTCTAATAATATACAAGGTAATACAATAATATATAACATGGTAATGTAGAATAATATAGTATAATGCAATGTAATGTAATGTCATACTGGCGCGCCTGCCGCCTGTATGGGCCCCTCAGAGGCCCCCATCTGCCCATCGATAAGGACCTGTGCGTCGTGCTGGGTGGAGGGACTATTCTGGACTCCTGGGTGCATCTTGCTGGGTGGAGAAGGTCTATTCTGGGTCTGCCCCAGCAGGCATCGGTACCTCCTGCCTCACCACTTTCCCTTCCCGCTTCCCGTCTTCTGTTCCTCTCTTTCCCCAGGTGCAGACCCTGCCCTTGGAGGGGTGCCGTCTGTGCTCACGATGGAAGCGCTCCCTAACCCCACCCCGCACCCCCATTGCTTGCTTTTGTCCTGCTTTTGCACTTCCTGAAATCGGGAATTTTTTGTTGTCTGGCCGTACGCCCGCCTGGGATGGGGGACAGGAGAGGTGTCTGGGAAGCGTAGAGCAGGCAGGTGGCGCAGAAGCCGGTTCCCGAGAGCCACGCTAACGACGGTCTAGAATCCGGAGGAAAGAGGTCTTGCGTTCACGTGGACAGATGCCTTCCCGGCTGGTTTCTGGAAGGGACCACCGTCCTCAGCCCTGCCAGGATCCCCGGTCCAGGGAGCCTAAACGTGCAGTTTGTTCCAGGTTAGGGCTGACACTAGCCTGGCCGCCGGCCGTGGGGAGGGCAGGAGGGAAGGAGAAGCAAACCGAGAAATGGACCCAAAGCCCTGCTCCGATTGTGGGAGGTGACGTCTGGCCCCTGTGGAGGGATCGGAGTCCGTCCCTGGTTCCTGCAGCATGCCGATCAGAGTCCTGATCCGCAAGGAGTCAGTGCGTTGTGACCCAGGGTGCAAACTCCTGATGTCGCCTTTGCCTCTTTAATAACCCTGGGCTGCGTCCCACTTCTGCCCACGGAGAACGCTTCTTCCCACAACACTCTCAGGTCCCCACTGACGTGGACGTCCCCCATCCCAGCCCTGTCTTTCTCTGGCCGCTCTCTGCCACTGGCCCTGGGCCTCTCTGCTCCTCTTCTCCATGCCCTAGACAGCTGCCCAGCACATGCTGTGTGGGGCATCCTTGGGAGCAGGCTTGAAATGCCCCCGCCCAGACCTCTGCATCTTTTTAAATATATATATATATATTTTTTTTTTTTTTATTTCACAGAGAGAGAGCACAAGCAGGAGCAGCAGGCAGAGGGAAAAGCAGGCTCCTCGCCGAACAACGAGCCTGATGGGGGACTCGATCCCAGGACTCTGGAATCATGACCCGAGCCGAAGGCAGAGGCTTAGTGGACCAAGCCTCCCAGGTGCCCGTCCAGACCGGTGCATCTTAGCTCCGTGCCCAGGACATCTGCCCTGAAAGGGGTCCACCCTGGGGCTCAGCGGGGTGAAGGCGGCTGCCCTGTCTTCTGCGTCTGTGTGTCTCTTCTGTCTCCTGTAAGCACACCAGTCGTTGCATTTAGGTCCCCACCCCCGGATCCAGGATGAGCTCATCTCACATCCTTCATTTCCTGAGACCTACAAAGACCCTTTTCCGATGTCAAGTCCACGTCAGGGATCAGAGTGGGGTCGCGCCAGCCACAGCTCCCTTATCTCGGACTCCTGCGCCGTGAGGGAGCTGGCGTGCTGTCACAGCTGTGAGTGGGGTGACGCCAACGGGTCAGTCCCTGTCCCTGAGCGGGGTCCTTCCAGCTGGGGCTGAGCCCAGGTCCACTGCAGCGGGAGACGAAGGCGGACGCCACGTGCTCCGCTGGAGGGCTGTGTTTGACCCTGGGCGGAGTCCTCCGTGGGGACGCAGGGTCCTCACCAGGGTCTGTGCCCCGGGGGCACGGAGGAGACCGTGTCCCTGGGACCCGGCGGGGAGACGGTTCCGAGAGCCACATGATACGCTGCGCGCGGCGTATCATCAACGGTGCCAGGAAGTTGCCCAAGCCCGCCCTGGATGGCGAGCCGCAATCAGGGTTCTAACAAAGAGGAACACGCGAGGAGAAATGACAACAGGAAAAGAGCAATTTTGAAAGAAAGGGGACTCATTCCAGGGAAAGTACGGGGTGGCTGACCCCGGCTTCGAGGGAAGACACCAGGCAGACACGGGGATGGGGTTCTCGCCTGGGTCGCTGACCTCTCCCTCCCGGCCCCCGAGCCTCATTGGGTCTGGGTTTTAGGGGCGGGGCCCCTGGCCGTGGCCATAAAAATCCTGAGAGGGGAGCCGCAGCTTTGGTTTCTCTTTGGGGACACTTCCTGGAGCACAGCTGGGAACAGGACTCGGAGAGAGGAGTCTGGGGTCCTGATCCCTCCGAGGGCCGGGTGCCTCTCCCAGGTGGGACCTTCATCGACACCCAGGTAAGACCTCTGACCCCCGGGAGGGACGAGGGGCATGGGAGTGGGGCTCGTTCCAGGCGTGGTGCTTCTGCCTTGGGCATGGCACTGGGATCCGGAGGGTTTAGGGCTTGTGAAAGATGCTGGGGACGGCACCGAGAGCCGGCAGGGACCGTGAGACCAGGCTTGCACACTGACGGGCTGGACAGGCTGAGCGGCACGGGACAGAAGATGTGAGTGGCCTTCTACCACGCTGACCCCATTATTTTGGAAAAGCGTGAGCACACGCATGAGGCTGCCGTGCCGGGTCTTGCCGAGAAGCTCGGGTCCGAGGTGGGCACGGCGGTTGGTTCCCGACGTCCAGCGCGGCCTGGCGGGGAGCTGCCGGGGGCTCGGACGGACCATGAAGCACTAACCCCTTGGAGGTGCCTGATGCACATGGGCCTGGATGTGCACAAAACGTGGTCCGTCCACGCAGGGGGTCGGACTCAGCCCCGTAAATGAGCTCGAGGACACGATGCGCGGGGACACAAGCAGACACACGAGGACTCATGGTGCGTGATTGCATTTCTGGAAAAACGGGCACAACGGGGAAATGCATGGACAGAACGTGGGTTAGGGGCTGCCCGGTGGCGGGGAGGGGACGGGGAGTAAGAGCTCATGCGGATGGGGTTTCCTTTCGCTGGATGGAATGTTCTGGAGCCAGAGAGCGGCAGAGAATGTCTCAGATGGTCCCTGAGTTACGTTTTATTTTATTTTAAGATTCTATTTATTTATCTGAGAGAGAGACAGAGCGAGTACGACCAGGGCCGGGGGGAGAGGGGGAAGCAGGCTCCCGGCGGAGCAGGGAGCCCGACGCGGGGCTTGATCCCAGGACCCCGGCATCGTGACCTGAATCAAAAGCAGACGCCCGACCGACTGAGCCACCCAGGCACCCCTCAGTTACGTTTTTAAAAAGTAATTTTTTTAAAAAAGATTTTGTTACTTTAATTCTCAGAGAGAGACAGAGCATGAGGGAGGACAAGGGCAGAGGGAGAAGGAGGTTCCCCGCTGAGCACGGAGCGAGAAGCGCGACTTTGATGGAACGTGCATTTCGTCTCCACACAGAATTAATGAACCGATACGTTATATGTTTATAAAACATAAAATTAAAAAATGCAGATGCCTGAGAGCTTCCCCAGGACCCCCTCTGGGCAGGTCCTGTGGGGACCAAGGTCTTATAGGGGATGACGCCAGGCAGGACCCACGCCTCGCCCCCTCCTCTGGGCTAGCTGTGGGCTTCAGCCGAATGGGGGCTCCAGACCCCTAGACATTCACGTCCACGTTGGCGCCCACCGCGTCTGACCGCCTGCAGTCCCATACCAGCTGTCCTCAGTGACTAGCGGCAAGTCCCACTCCGCTCTGTTTAACACGCGGATGCTTTCCGCACCGTGGATTTCCCGCTCTGACCTCTGGGGCGCACGGAGTGTGGTGAATACGGGTTGGGGGGACCCCCAGCAAAGCTTGAGCCTCCCGCCTCCCTGTCCTCCCCAGCGTCCCTGCATTACGACGACGAGAACCCTGTCCCGGGCGCCTCCCACCCAAAGGCGATCCTGGATCTTTCCATCCCCCTGTCCTGGGGAAGGGCTCTCTCGGGCGTGTTCCCCGATGTTGGCAAGAGCCACTTTCACTGTCCGATTGTGTCCAAGTGCACACTTGCTGGAAATCGCCCTCAGCCCTGTTGTGGAGACGGCAAATCTGTTCGGAGCCCCACGGCTTAACCAGGGGAGCAGGTGAGACCCCTGGTGGAGTCCTCATTGGGTCCTGTGCTGGGGGCTGTGAATGCCCAGGACAAGACGGGGGAAATCTGAGGTCCCACTCCTCAATCCCGGCTGAGATTTTCCAGACGGGATGGTGCGAAGGGGGCACGTTTTCTGGACAGTTCTGAGGGGCACAGAGTGCTGGCCCCAGACCGCGAATGCTGTTTGCCAACAGTGACACGGTGGGGAGGATGGGGGCTCGTCAGGAGACCGAGTTGCTGACGGTCCCGGTGGGGGAAGGAGGCTGGCCACCGAGGCGAGGGTCCTGGAGAACCAGCCTGAAGACGGGGCTTCCTGGAGACCCTGAGAAGGTCCTGGCTGGGGCGCTGGGACCACGCAGGGCTCAGTTACCGTAACTCTGCCCGTTCAGGAAATTTGATGTCTGTCGGCTTCATAGTTTTAATTACACTTCCTTCCCACGCTTTGTCATGGCTGCCTTTCCCGGCACCGTGTGTGGCGTGTGCTTTCCCGACTTCTGCCTCCGGCTGGAGCCAAGAGCACGCTCTGACCCGAGGGTGCGAGTGTCTCAAGCCGACTGGCGTACACACGGGGACGCCCACACAAGCACACACACATGGGACATGCATAGGACACGCATGGACACGCAGTTGTGCACACGCACACTCACATGAGTGTGCAGCCATGTGCACACACGGCAGTGCGTGCACCGTATGCACACGTGTGCGCCGCGGGAGCCTGTGCTCACATGCACACGCGTGCACATGCACACACACGTGCACGAACGCACACACGTACACATACAGATGCAAATGTGTGCACACGCACCGGGCATACGCAAATGCACACACTTGCACATACCCAGACCCTTTCCTCCTGCAAAAGGCCCCGTGCTCATGAGCAGGAGCTTCCCCAAGTCACCTCCTCCGTCCCACACGCTAAGCGTCCCTTCTTTCCCAGCGCACAGCCTGACGTGGGAGCTGCCTCGCTATGGCCTTGCTGTGGCTCGCCGTGCTTCTGACGTCTGCGTCCAGCCTGCCGCAATCACAGGAAGGTAGGACCGAACCCCAGGTGCGTTCTGAGGGTGTGTCCGGCGTTCTGCTGTTTCCGTTCAGCTCGACGTCCAGATCGTTACGGATCCAGCGGCAGCGGTGAGCGGGGATACGGAGACGGCCCGTGTGCCCCCCATCCCGATGCCGCCCGTGGGATCGTCTGGCAGCCCTGTCACGGCGCAACCTCACGGCCAGGACACGGGGTGCGGGAGGGCCGAGGTGCTGAGCATTTCGATGGCGCTGGAATGCAAGGACCCATCACGTACTTGGGTTCTGAGTCATTTTTCCAGGGAAAAACTGTGTGGACCTGTATGTCCCTTTCCTGGGTAGGGTCGTGGGCAAGGCGATGGTTATGGGCTGACTTGTGTCCCCACTAAAGTTCTCCCTGGAAACCCTCGCACCCAGACCCTATAAATGTGACTGTGTTTGCAGACAGAGTTTGGTGAGATGAGCCCATCTGGGTTGGCTCCTAACACAACAGGACTGGCGTTCTTATAGGGAGGGGACGCGTGGCCACGGATGTGAGCCCGCGGGGAAGGCCACGTGCGGCGAGTGCGGTCTCCGTGCCCTCCGCGTGGCTCGTACGATCTTGCGTCACGACGCTGGGGAATGAGATCCCATAGGAACCAGAATCGATGAGAGAGGAGGCTGATGACGATCCCCGAGCCTTCTGTGCCAACTTCTGTCACCAGCCGGTCCGCCTCAGGGGTCAGGGGCGGCCAATGGGCGTGCAGCAGGGAACGTCCGGAGGAACCCGTCGGCTGCTGGAGAGGGCGTGACCGCCAGAGACGCCCACGCCTCCGGCTCTGCTACAGGGCACCGTGCATTAACAGCCCGGGTGCGGCCCCAAGTGCCCCAGGAAGAGGGGGCTGGTAATGTCTCTGCAGGCGCGTCTGCACAAAGCCACTCGCTGTCAGGAAGTTTCTGAGTAATCAGCGGACCCCCAAGAGGGCCATCTGCATGTTTCCACGTCGGGTTCCCTTGGTACAGGGTCGTGGGGCGAAGGCCAGGCATGGCAGGTCCTGCGGGAGCGCCAGAGCCTACGCACCTGGGGCGGCATCAGTCCGATGTCAGCTGCGGTGACGCCCACAAGATTTCACAAACCACTAGATGTTGATTCCTTCCTCAAATAGGGGCAGAATTCAGATGTTTTTGTGGGGGAGAGAGAGGAAGGTTTTGGTCTTCTGAAGGGTGTTGCTTGAGTCTGCGTGGGCAGACAGAACAAAATACTGTCGCCTGGGGGCTCAGTCTATCTCTCCCAGCTCTGGGGATCCGGGGGGGCAAGGATGCTGTTCCACGTAGGGCAGGGATGCTGAGACCCAGGTGGGGCAGGGATGCTGAGATCCAGGCAGGGCTGGACCTCTGAGATCCAGGAGGGTCATGGCCGTGCTCCCTCCTGAGGCTCCAGGAGAACGTCCTTCCTGGTTCTTCCAGCTTCTGCGGCTCCAGACATCCCTGGGCTTGTGGCTACGTCCTCCCATCCCTGCCTCTGGCCTCACCTATAGCCTTTTCTGTGTCTCTTCGTGTCCAAATGTCCTCTCCTAATAAGGACACCAGCCACATCGTGTTTGGGTCCGCACTATTCAAGGATGACCCCGTCTCAATTAACATCTGCCATGACCCCAATATCAGGTCCCATTGCGAGGTCCTGGGAGTTGGGACTCCAGCATGAATTTTCATGGGACAGTGTGGGGCTCATGACAGGTGGTTCTGCCCCAAATATTTATCCCGAGATCCAGGGTCCTTCGGCTCCCCCAGGAGCGTTTATGGGTGAGAACTGGAAGTACCGCCACGTGTCGTGTTGAATTTCATGGACTAGAACCCAGTCATGTGGCCACACCCCTCCCATCCAGGGGACTGGGAGATGGCGGGATGTCAGGAAAGGGAAGGTGCCTCGTCTACGTCAGCCTGCCTGAGCACGATCTGGGTTCTTCTCCCAGTTCCCGCCCTTGGTTTGTCCGTCTCAGCCGGGGACAAAGGCCAGTGCTGCCTTTGTGGTCACTTCAGGCCTGAGGATGCTCTAGGATGGCTGACCACAGGTTGGAAGTGAGCTGCGTTCTAGGAGCAGAAGTCTCCTAGAAGGGGGCAGCTGACGCAATCCGAAATGTTCACATCTTCCCTCGTAAGCGGGACGCCCCCTAAGACTCCAGCGTTGGCCAGACTGCGTTAAGAGGGGCCATTGGTACAGCACTCGGTGGAATAGAAGTGTTGAAACCAGACGCCTTGCCTTGTTCTGGTATTAAGAAGGAGTGGTTAGTCTTTCACCATTGAGTCTGAATTAGCGCAAAGATTTTCATAGATTTATCGGGGTAAGGAAGATCTCTTCCTTTCCTCGTTTATTAAGATTTTTTTTTTTACTTACAAATGGGTGTAAGTTGGTCAGTTTCTTTTTTCCTCCTTCTAGAGAGATCATTAGTTTCTTGTTAATGGGGGTGAATTACATCGACAGTTAAAGAAAACTTGCATTCCCAGAGTAAATTTCTTGGGTCATGAGATATTACCAGGTTTATGTGTATTCCTGGATTTTGTTGACTAATATTTTCTGAAGGGATTTTGCATCTATGTTTATAAGGGATGTTGGCCTCGAGTTTACTTTTAATATCTTTGATTTTGATATTGGGATAATGCTGGCCTCCTAAAGGGAAACAGGAAATATTTCCCATCGGCCCCTCACCCCACATTCTTTTTTTGAACGTTTGTGCCCATGATACTATTTCCTCCTTAAATATCTGATAATTTATATATATTATTAGTTATAAAAATAAAATATGATAAATAACATTAGTATTTCCTACTTCATCTTTCATATCTGCTTTAATGATATTTAATGTTGTGTTCGCAGAACTGAGTGTAGGTTTTCAGGCATAAGAATTTGTTAAGAGAGGGACATCTGGGTGGCTCAGTCAGTTAAGCCTCTGCCTTCAGCTCAGGTGCTGGGATCGAGTCCCGCATCGGGCTCCGTGCTCAGTGCGGAGCCTGCTTCTCCTTCTCTCTCTGCTACTCTCCCTGCTTGAGCTCTCTCTCTCTCTCTCCGGCAAATAAATGAATATAATCTTAAAAAAAAGAATTTATTAAGAGAATGTCCGTAAACTATTGAACAGTACATCTGAAACTAACGATGTACTACATGTTAGCTAATTAAATTTAAATTTAAAAAACTCTTAAGAATTACATGTTCAATGTATAAGAAATTTGCCTCAATGAATTTTTTGTTGTTGTTGTTGTTACCATAAAGGAATACATTGTCCTTATAAGGTAGAAGAAAATAATGGCAGAAACCGAGGTGTTGATACGGTTTGGTCTTGGTTATGAAACTAAGGCTGTTGATCTTGATATGTAATCACGATACTGACAGCTTATCAACTCGGTGAACGTTTATTAAAGTCACATCCTGTAAGTCCTTGAAAGGGGTCACAGATGAAATCTCACCGGGTGTCTGTTGTAGCTTTACAGACGGGTGTTATTGGAAAACGTGACTCGGTAGCACCTTGTACCTGGGCAAGCAAGTCTTGGATGAGATATGCTGAACCCTGTGGTCTGCCGCTGGAGACCCCCTTTCCCAGCAACTTGTAGCAGGAATGTGTGAGCTTTGATTCCATCTCAAAACAGAACCTGATGTACTTGGGGAGGTTCTCCAGTAATGTCAGACCTGCTCCAACAGCCTATGAGCCATGAAAGGCCATGCATATTATTCTAATGACCATGCCTTGTATTTTCAAAATAAAGCAAAAAAAAAAAAAAAGCAAGTTTGATGGCCATTGACAACCAGTCCCAGAAACGCAGACCTTGAGAGACGTATGCAAGCCAGATCTGTTCTCGGTTTCTCCATCACGGGGATGGCAGGCTAAGGAGAGGAACAGGGCGTTGTTGACGGAAGCTTTCTTCCAGCTCTCAACAATTCCTCACCCGTGTACAATTCTGCTTCCCGAGGTCGTCGGTGAACTCGGTGGGAAGAGGAAGTCCCCTCGGTGATAAGGGTTCAAGCTTCTGCAGTACTTCTCCTAACTGTGACCTCTACCCATTTCAGATCACTATTCACCGATTAAAAACCTAAGGATAGAGCCGGTGGAAAGGAGATTGACCTGGGACCTCCATGGAAATGTTTCTGAAATTATGTGTTTCATAAATTCAAAATTTATCACTAAGGTAAACCATCTTCCCTGTATTTGGCATAGTCGAGGTTTTCCTGACATTCGGGGACTTAAGAGCCAGCAGAGCCCAAAGGCCAAGACGGGTTCTGGCATCACAGAAGCGGGAATTCTACTCTGGGGTTGGCTATGGAAGGGGTTGAAGACTATTGCAGACACCACAGTTCAGGGTTCACCTTCTGTACGATGTCCAAGATGGTGCCCCTGGAGAACCTTGGTGAGAACATGTTCTCAGGGATCTGGGTGGAGAGCCAAGCCCAGCTGAAAATGAGCGCTTGCTTTCCCACCATCGCCCGCCTCTCACCCAAATCCTATACTGTGTCATCTTCCGAGCTTGAGAGGTCTTGAGAACTGTGACAGACCCCATGGGTGGGCCTTGATGAGAATATAACATATTCACAGCTCATAGTGTCTCATGAGGAACAGGCACCTATCAACTTCCTTGACGATAAATTTGGTGTTTTAAGATTATTCTTGATTTAATACAATACAGGTCACAACCTGGGCCCCCATTACAAATATTCCTCCCAGTGCTGGAGGCTGGGAGTCTGAGATCCAGGCGGGGCTGAGGGTGGGACTGTGAGATCCAGGTGGGGCTGTGGCTGGTTCTCCTAAGCCCTCTCTCTTGGGCGTGAAGACACTCTATTCTTCCTCTGTCCTCATGTGGTCATCCCTTGATGTGTGTCTGTGTCCTGATGTCCTCTTTTTCTAAGGACCCCAGTCCTATGGGATCAGGCCCCACCCTACTGACCTCATTTTACCTTAATCCCCTCTTTAAAGACCCAATGTCCAAATACAACCACTTTCTGAGGTTCTGGGGCTGAGGGTTTCACCATACGAATTTGGGGGGGACACAGTCCAGTTCATGATAAGCCTAGGTGGGATTTCACTGGGACCTGTCCAGTTGACTCTAAACTCTATCTGGAACATGGCAGGCTACAAAAACAACCAAGAAATGTTGATAAAGAACACTAGTGATCAGGAATTTGCCTTTCCATGATGTCTCCAAATGTACCAAGAAGCTATGATTATCCAGGGTTAGGTTGATGGAATGCGTGGATAGATTAAAGAAATGGAACAATCCAGAAACAGAAGCATGCCTTGGTGGCACGTTGGGTAGGGTGGGTTTCCGATACCATTAAGGTGCTATTTCAGATTGGTGAAGAAGGATGGTTGTATGCATGGAGTCAGCACCATTTCCAAAATGCACTAAAGTTAAGTTGGATTCCTACTTCCCAATGTCCATGCACATAAATCGCAATTAGGAGCAATCTAGAGATTTTTCTGGATCCTGAAGATGTAGAAGGAATTGCTAAAAGGTCTATTTCAAGATATTGGACCCTGATGTCATTCCCTCATCCGCTGTTGGTTTTCCCTAAATTGAATTCATTTCCATTTTGTTCATGGTCTTTGCGTGTATGTCCCGTTTTCCCATGTATCTACGCTACTTCAACATTATGCTCTTGGCCAAATGGGTAAATATGGGGTTGAACCATCCGGTTTGGTGTGTTTGTCCTCAGCGGAGACGGGTTCTCCTTCTCAGTGGGTGAGTCTCTCCCTCTCCTTGTTTCCCTGGTCTGCCTACATGAGGACCCCCAACCTTGGGCTGCCTGTGGTGTTCAGAGGCAGCGCTCAGCACAGCGATGGCTGGTTTGGGAAAACACCCACCAACCCCGCATTCTGTTGTTCTTTTAGAACTTCCTTTTAGAGGCATTTATGGAACTCAAGTTCCTCGAACAAGAGACAGTGACCAAGTTTACGAGACTCACCTGAATCACTCAAGGAAGCTTTAGATGAGTGCCCAAAAAATGCCCAAAGATGCACATTTTCCCAGATCCTCGAGATTTGTTGTGTTAACATGTATTTAACAACTAGTCTGCTTGAATCTGTTATAGATATGATTAATTAGGTAGAGGTCTTCTTCCTTTATTAATTACAATTTCCACCAACTGGGGGTGCTGGCTGGTTCAGCTGGTACAGAGCGAGAAAATTTTGACATTAGGGTGTCATGACTTTGAGCTCCATGTTGGGCATGGAGAGGACTTAAAACCTTAAAAAAAAAAATAACCTTCTCCTTATTAAACCATTGGGGGCTCCACATTGTTAACTTATTATATAATGCAGGTAAAAAGCCAAAATTCATCATGAGCTGGATAAATATCTTCCTTTCGTGTGTGACTTTGCATTTTTATTTCCCCATTTTCCTAACTTTTCTGTCCCAATTTCTTTTATCTCTCGATCCTCAGAAAAGGATTGATTTATTCATAATGGAATTTATAAATGGAATATTTGTTTATTTATAAGCTGGTTATTTATTTATTCATACATGGAATTATTTTACATAAATTCTTGTATGGTTTTTAAAAAATGAATAAATTTCACTTTTTTCCTGGAGCAGTGTGGGGTTCACAGCAAAATTGAGAGGAAGGTATAGGGATTTCCTGTATGGCCCGCAGTCCCCTGCCCATGCACACGCACGGCCTTTCTGCTAGGAGCCTCCCGACCAGAGGGCACAGGCCGTACCACGGATGAATGTGTTTGAACACGTCATCCTCACCCAGAGTGCACGGATGACCAGACGGGTCACTCTCGGTGTGTGTATTTGGGGACTTTCGACAAACAGAGAATGGTAAATGTAGTACACAGGACAAAGTCACTGCCCTAAAAAAAAAAAAAAAAAAAATGCTGTGTTTCATCTGTTCCCCTCTCCCTCCCTCTCCACCAACCAGTAATTTATACACCATCTCCAGTCTGTCGATTGCCACAAAATAAGGTGTTGGGGTTTTGTTGAAGATTGAACGGACTCTATAGAGACTTACGTTTTTTTTGCCGTTATTATGGTTATCGTTGTTATTCAATCTGGGTATCATCACCATGACACTACGTGTGTTCTCTCAACAATGACTAAATGGTTCTTTCCCTCTCAGGCCATCAACAACAACCGTTACTGCCAGTTCCACATCCTTCCCTCATGTGAAGTGAAAAACTTCAGCGTCTCCTTGACCAAAGGCCCGCCGTTTTTGATGAGGATTCAGTATCCTCTGCAAGGTCAAGGGAACATGTTCCTCTTTGGGTTTTGTTTGCTCTCGGTCGCTGGCTGGTCGTAGGGATACAAAAACCATGACTTTTAGCTTGGGTGGGCCTGCAGGGAGTGGGGGGAAAAAAAGCGTAGGACCGTAGGACATGGCGGAGGATGTCATTGGTAAGACTTTCTTGGGTTGATGACGTGTGCAAATGCAGAACAGATTAGTGCTTGGCAGGGGTGAGGAGAGAAAAGGAGCATCGGGAGAGCTCTTGGGGGATGAGACCGCGCTGTACCCTGACATTATGGGCGTTGACATCTGCAACTATGTGTGAACCCACAAGGACCTGGAAATCCTAACGTCCCTCTTAAAGGTGACTTGTTTTTCTTCTCATCTCCTTTGCAAACACAGAAGGAAACCCTGAGGCGGCCGCACGAGGTCTGGACTGCCGGGTACACGACGTGGACTTCCTGACGTGCAGCTGGGAGGTGGGCAGGGAGGCCCCCCGGGACATCCAGTATCACCTGTACTGGCAGGAGCTGAGGTAGGTGTGGCTGCGGGCACAGCCGGGCTCTCCCCAGGCACATGGGGCCACTGGGTCATTGCTGGGTGCCCCCTCCTTGCCGCAGGACCCAGAGGGAGTACGAGTGCCCAAATTACGAAATGGATAATCGGGGAAAACTCGTCCGGTGTCATTTCAATGATGTCTCCAGATTGCCGAAACACCTCCAGATCCTGGTGAGGGGCACAAGCCAAGGTGCCAGGATCCCCTGCTCCGACCGTACTGTCGAATTATCAGAAATTGGTGAGTACAGGTCGAGGACACGGCTCTCAGGCTGCAGCCTGGGCTCTGGGATGCTGGTGTCTCAGGGCAGGGGACCATAAGAAAATAACCCCAAGCGGTCGGCTGAAATGACACACTGATTTCTCGTGGTTCTGGAGGCGGGAAGCCCAACCTCAAGGGGCCGGCAGATGGGGTTCCTGGTGAGCGTCCCTCTTCCTAGCTTGCACATGGCAGACTTCTCACTGTGACCTCACCCAGGGGGCGAGGGAGAGAAAGAGCGCTCCATTCTCTTCTCCTGGTGCCGTCCAAATCCCATCATGGGGCCCCACGTAATTACCTCCCACCTTCGAACGCCATCCCACTGGGGGTCAGGGTGTGTGCGTTTGGGGACGACGCGTTCAGCTCCAAGCAGCGGCTGTGAGTTCACGGCAGCTAAGGAAGTAACCCGCTTGCTTCTGGAGCATTCCGGCAACACACGGGGCACGGGGCTCCCTCACGAGTCTCGGGGAGGGGGTGAGAGTCGTGCCCGCAGCCCCTGTCAAGGCCCTGTGTTCTTATGCTAACGGGTTTCTGGAACACAGACCCCATTGTAGCAACGCTCTGTTGCCGTCCGTTTTCTTCGACCGGACCCCTCCCCAGACTGTGACAGCTTTCGGCCTCCGGAAGCCTGGGCCTGCCCCGGCGGGTCCTCGTGGGGTAAGGAAGCACGGGCCGGCGACATGAATTGACATGTGGTGCAGAGGGGAAGAATGCAAGGCCTCTTGCTTGAAAAGCGGGGGGCCTCTTCCTTCGTCTGCGGCTTCCCCCTCCTGAGCTGACATGCTGTGTTTTATGGGCACTGGTTTGCTGCTGCCTCAGACACGGGGCGCTCACCGGTACGTCCAGACCATGTCTCAGGCTGCTGCAACTCCGTGCACGATCCCCCTGGACCCCTATGTCCTCAGCCCCAGTCCCAGCAGGGGTGGAAGGACACAGTGGTCAGGACAGTGGGGTGGTGGGTGTTAGAAAGCCCGGTGGGGATGCATGGAGGGTTCAAATGGGAACCGGGGGCTCTGTGCCCCCAGTGCATGCTTCATTATCCTGTCAGGAACACAAATTCAAAAACGCCTGCTGTGCCCCAAAGATCTGTCCGCGTCTTGCATCTGTGAATGCCCCCTTGTGTGGAAACAGGATCTTTGCACTTGTTATAGGGAGGGCCTAATCCAATGTGGTGGTTCCCTTAGAAGAAACGGAGGAGATGCAGAGGCCAACCCAAAGACAGACGGGAAGGCCATGGTAGGGTGTACAGCCCAGGAACGCCAGGGATGGCCGGCAGCCACCCGGAGTGGGAAATGAATTCGATGGCGTTACTGGCCATTTCAGCGTGGCGCCGGGAGAGCAGGGACCCAAGCCTGGGGCCATGTGCAAGGACATCAGTCCCACACAGCTCTGCGCTGGGACGGGCCAGGTTGAGGCGTGCAGGGAGGCTGCTGGAGAGTGTCACGATGACATGCCCCATGACTCCAAGAGAGTCGGGGGGTTTATTATTAGTTCCCAATTGCTGTCTTAATAAATGATCCTGAGCTGTGAGGCGTTAAGCACAGGAATTAATCGTCCAGCCCTGGAGAGCAATCTGAGATCAGGCAGGGCAGGACCAGGGGCCCAGGTGGGGCAGGGATGCTGAGATCCAGGCGGGGCAGAGTCAAGGTCCTTCCTGAGCCTCCAGGGAGGGTCCTTCCTGCCTCTTCCAGCTTCTGGGGCTCCAAGCGTCCCTGGGCTTATGGCCGTGTCCCTCCTATCTCTGCCTGCATTTTTGCGTGGCTTGTCTTCTATCTCTTACAAGGACACCTGTCATTGGATTTAGGGCCCCCCTGCGGTCGGAGGACATCATCTCAGGATCCTTTACGTATTACACCTGCAAAAACCCTGTTTTTAGAAAAGAGATCTTATTTATTTATTTGGAAGAGAGAGACACAGCCGGGAGAGGGAACACAAGCAGGGGGAGCGGGAGAGGGAGAAGCAGGCTTCCCGCTGATGCGGGGCTCCATCCCAGGACCCTGGGATCATGGCCTGAGCCAAAGGCATACGCTTAAGGACTGAGCCACCCAGACTCCCGTAAAGACCCTATTTTTAAACGAGATTCCATTCCCCTGTTTTAGAGATTTGACAGGGAGGGATGATTTGGGGGTGACCATTCCCCTCACTGGAGCTCTTTAGAAAGTGGCTCACGTTTCACACTGGCCCTGGCCCTTCCTCCCAGGAGGAGCGTCTCCAAGGGAAGCCTGCCTGTGGGTGTTACACTGTAACGGGGCCTTTCCCACAGGCAGGCAGGACACAGGCTCTGCCCCAAGCTGGAGGGGCTGGTGGTAACCCTGTGTCCTCACCTAGGCAGGGTGGCTCCTAGCAGGTGGGTTCTGGGCTGTCTCCAGGGTTGTTGCCCAGCAGGACTGACCCACTTGCCCCTTGGGGTGCCCCTGCCTTCCTGGCCTCACTCTCCAGCCCTGCCAATGGACATATCCTCCCAAGCAGGCTTCTTGCCCTGTCTCCTGCCCCTGAGGGGAGAAGGCCATTTGTGGGGTGCGCGTCCCGTGGCAGCAGATGGGCAGGGTCTGTGTGGCTGCAGGGAGGAGGGAGCGGGGCTGGTTTTGAGCCTATTTCTCAGGATGGCATTGTAGGTGGAGGTAGAGGCAGGGACAGAGTGAGCCTGGGGGCGGGGTGACGTCACTGATGGGGGAGGGGGAGCAGGAGGGAGCAGGAGAAGAGGAGGGATAGGAGGGGAAGGACTGGGAGGAGGAGGGGACCCAGACAGAGCTGAGGACTGCCAGCCAGGGGTCCCGGTGGAACACAGGTGCAGACAGGTGAGGAGGACCCAGGGCTGGGCTCCCAGCGGAGGTCAGACCTGCGTGTCTGTTCAGATGTGCTCACATGCAAAGCTGGAGAAGCCACGGAGTCAGGGGAAGCTGCATGCCCAGAGCAAGGGCAGAGGGCAGAGCACAGCCAGGAGGGTCCCAGCACCCAGAAGGGAGGACAGGACGTCCGGGGAGGAGCTGGCTGCAGCAGGCGGGGTCTGGGGGAGGCGAGGAGGCAGGGGCAGATGTTTCCGGGAGTACGGCTGGCCTGCGGAGGGCACTGGCGTTGGGACGGACCCTGTGCGGGGCGGGGGAGCGGGCCCGGCTGCGAGGCACCGAGACGGGCCGGTGGGCAGGAGGCAGTCCACGGGCGCAGGACGCTGTCCTCCCTCTGCTGGAGGACGGTGGAACTAGGGCCAAGGGAAAACAGCAGGTGTCGTCCTGGGGACGTCGTTGGCACAGACCTTGCTCTCCAGGAGGATCTCGGGGTGGGCGGGGGTCTGTCACCGGCTGGTGTCTGCGTAGCTAGACCTATGGCTAATCCAAACCGACAGACATCGCAACACATCTTGTCATTCATCCGAATGGATGCTTTGCCCATTCTCTAACCTTGGAATGACGTGCTCCTCTGCTCTTTACCACCTTAAATCTCCATGAAGCCTGTTTTGAAGTATATTCTGGGGGGCGGGGGTGTGGATTGGTTTTACTCATAAAAGCTTTTTTTTTTTTTCCCTGTCGTAGAGATATTAAATCCACCCAATATCACTGCAACGTGTAATAAATCCTATTTGATGATGGAGTGGGAAACGTGCAGCCACTTTAATAACAGATTTGAGTATGAACTTCAGCTACAAAAGGTACATGCTTGTCCTTGCTGGCACTTCCAAATTCTGGAGAATCTGTACCCCCAAGGCTTTGGAGGCAGATAAAACACACACACACACACACACAAATATGAATCAAAAAAAATTTTTTTTTACTCTTTTAAAAATAAACATCAGGGGTGCCTGGGTGGCTCAGTGGGTTAAGCCTCTGCCTTCAGCTCAGGTCATGATCTCAGGGTCCTGGGATCGAGCCCCACATCGGGCTCTCTGCTCAGTGGGGAGTCTGCTTCTCCCCCTCTCTCTGCCTGCCTCTCTGCCTACTTGTGATCTCTCTCTGTCTGTGTCAAATAAATAAATAAAAATCTTTAAAAAAAAATAAAAATAAACATCAATACAGTAAAAAAAAAAACTAAAGTAAATTTTAAAATAAAAACATGAACTAAACTCTACCTAAAAATGAAGAATGTTAAGACACAAAAAAAGCTGAAAAAAATGAACGATCATTTAGCCTCTCGTGTGTGAAAACTGTCAAGAGAAAATATACAAACCCTAAAAAAAAAAATTTAACCTCAAGCAAAGTAACAGTGTTGGCTGTTCGAAAGCGAAGAGGTAAAATTGAAAAGGCAGGCCACCGAGGGAAGAAACCAGGTGCCTCTTTGTCCGTCAAAGGACTCGTATTTGGGCTGGATGAGAAAGGTTTGCAAGTCAATAACAAGAAGACCAATAACTGTATGAAAAAAAACAAAGGGCAAGAAGTTGAAACAGCCATTTCCCCAGGGAAGACGTACTCATGCCCCGTAAGCACATGGAAACGTGTCACCGACCTGCAAACCACAGGGAGAGGCCACTCCGCACCCCTGACACTGGCTAAGGTGACAGTCTGGGCAAACCGAGGGGAGGGCAGGCTGCCACCCAGCTGACTGCAACAGTTGCTTGCGACTCAACTGGTGGCCATTCAAAATGATACACGTGGCTCCTTCCTCTCTCAGATGTCCCTTGTGCATGAACCTTCTCCCGATGGTTAAGACCCAGGGTAAAAATCATATCTTTTTAAGGAAAAACATGGCACAGGCACTTTGGAACGGGCTTTGGTAGTATCTCGTGGAGGCAGCCACGCCCGTGCTGGTCTGGCTCCGAGAATGATGAAAACCTAAGTCCCACCAGCGTGGGGACCTGCGTGTTCATGGCAGCTGAGTTTGGGAACAGCCCAAGACAAGGCACCAACAAAACATATCCACGCTGTGGAATCGGGCCCCCGGGGAAGGTCAGCCACACTCAAGGTCTGCCTTGGACCCCACTTATGCACAGAAGCGTAGAACATGCAGCACGATCTCTAGTGGGTGACACGCGTGGGCCCTGGGTGTGTGCGGGAAGGGAAGCGTGGCGGAGGGGCACAAGGAGTGTGCTTTCGAGGTGTGGTTTGCTCAAGCAAATTACGCCTGAATCCAGTTACCTTAGAAAATGATCAAGTGGGGGGGTGCCTGGTGGGCTCGGTCAGAGCACGCGACTCTTAATCTCAGGGTTGGGAGTTCAAGGCCTACGCTGGGCACAGAGACTAAACAAATAGACTTAAAAAAAAAAAAAACTGTAAGTCTACAAATTAAAAGAAAATGACCAAATGTTTTGAGCTGAGATAACGGTTATTAATTCTATCCCCCCCCCAAAACAAGACCAGGTGTTTTTTAGTTAATACCTCCTTCATACGCAGGTTATTTATATATGATATGACTCATTTAGGCTCAACCCCTGATTATTTTGTACTCAGTTTCTGTTATAAACCTAAAAAGGGCTTCAATAAGGGCGTCTGTCGGGGGACAGCAGCAGATACCCACAGCTTTCCCCTCTTGTTTTGTAGGGCAGTGATCCCGCCTACACGGAGAAGGTGAGCGTCCCCCACCCTCCCTGAACTGGGCATCACAGACCCGTTTCCTTACTGTCCAGCCACTCTGTGGTGCCCGACGCTGCTCGTGGGCCCCGCTCACCCATCCGGCGATCTCCAGGAGTCCGTGCTGAGGGGAAACAGCTCGGAGATGATGCTCTGTCCTCCTGAGGCTTCTCCTCTGTGTGTGTGTCTCCTCTTCTGTCCCTTGTTAGGCCCCTGTCACTGGACGTAGGGCGACCCCAATCCAGGATGAATTCATCCTGACATCTTTCAAGTAAGCACATCGGCAAAGACCCTACTTTCAAAGAAGGTCCGGACCACAGACTCCAAGGGGGAGGGTGATGACATATCTTTCTTGGGGAAGCAGAGGTCACAGTCAAGAGTGTGTAGGGCCCCATGCCGTGCACAACACCCACACACGGCACCATGGGCTTGGCCTCTTTGGGGACGGCCGTGGCTTCTTTTCCTCCCAGTGCTTGGTGTCTTGGACACCAAGAACCTGGGCTGACAAGGGTAGGGGGCTCCAGGATTCGGGCCCCTCTGAACAGGCATCTTCCCCGCTGGAGGCTGGTTCGGTTCACATTCTTGGGGGGGCTTGTAGATAATGAGTGTCCCAGGTTGAGGGCTTTAAAACACAGCTCTATTCTCTTGGGGTCCTGGAGACCAGATGTCCAAGATACAGATGGGGGAGGATCTCATTCCCTTTGGAGGCTCCAGGGAACATCTGTCCCAGCTACTGGGGCTCCTTGGCGTGTGGCTGTCTCCCTCTGTCATGCACATGGTCTTCCCCATGTGTGTGTGTTCCCAAACTCCCCATTTTGTAAGCTCAGCAGTGGTAATGGATCACAGACCCCTAACCCAAGCTGCCCTCTGCTTCACTGACTGCATCTGCTCCAACCTCGTTTCCAGACGAGGTCCGCTTCCGAAGCGCCGCGGGGCGAGGACGCTCACACACGAGTTTGGGGGAGGGCCCACGCCCCACGACAGGGCCCCACTGTCTCCCCGCCAACTGGGAACAGCCTTTCCTTCTTTCCTTGTCAACCACAGCTCCAGGAAAAGTTCTTTGAGCTTCACAATCCCAGAAACTACGTGGCGAGACTAAGGGCCAAAGGTTTCTACCGCAAAAGCTGGAGCGAGTGGAGTGCCCCCCAACGCTTTGGTGAGTGAGGCGCCCTTTTACCTGTCCTCTGTGTGCGCTGGACGCTGCGGGCAGCACCCCTGCTCGGGGAAGCACGGACCCCTCGCGCTCGGACGGGCTCTCCACCCCTGCCCTTCGATGCTCTGCCACGCACAGGCTTCTGCGTCCCCAGAGAGGGCTCTGAGACAACATCTGACCCGGCACCTTGTGCTCACCCCAAGGGGGCGCAGAGAGGAAGAGGAACAAGACCCCCAGTTCGAGCCTCCATGGCTTGTCAGTTAGGCACACGGGTTCCTTTCACCCGACATGGTCCCTGGCATGGCTGCTGGGCCGGATTAGAAGCATTTGCCCAAAATAAGACCCACTGTTTCTCCCTGACCTGTTCGGAAACCGGACCCTCCTCCCAGGCTCTCCTAGAATGTCCCCTTTCAGCGGTGGCACGTAGGAAGCCTTGGTCACGAGGGTCCTGGGGCTGCTGCAATAAATGACCACACGTGGTGGGGGAGGGGGCCTACACCCACAGGAATCCAGCCTCTCCCAGCTCTGGAGACCAGAGTCTGAGATCCAGGCGGGGCAGGGCTCCCTCCTGGGGCTGCAGGGCAGGGTCCTTCTTGCCTCTTCAAGCTTCTGGGGCTCCAGGCGTCCCTGAGCTTCAGGCCATGTCTCTCTCATGTCTGCCTCCATCTCCATGTGGCTTCTCCTGTGGGTGTCTGTGTCCAAATTCCTTCTTTGTATACAGACACTAGTCATTGGGTTAGGGCCCATCCTATTGCACTGGGACCTCACGTTTACCTAATTAGTTCTGCAAAGACCCTCTGCTGTGGGCTCAAATGTGTCCCCCCAAATTCACATATTGAAGTCCTCACCCCCAGGACCTCAGAATGGGACTATATTTGGAGATGGGGTCGTTAAAGAGGGGATTCAGGTGAAATGAGGTCATTATGGCGGTCTTGATCCCATTAGAAGAGGGGCTGAGGACACGGACAGGCACAGAAGGACAAACATGTGGGGACAAGAGAACACAGCGTCAGCATGCGGAGGGGAGAGGCCTCCTGTGGAACCGGCCTCAGCCCCATGTGGATCCCGGACTTCCAGCCTCTAGGACCGTGAAGCCAGTATCTGCTGTTTCAGCCTCCCCGTCTGTGGGCCTTGGTTGTGGCAGCCCCAGCAGACTCACGCACTCCGCACAGGGCCCCGCTGTCCCGAGGGGAGGCGGAGGTCTTCGCAGAGCAGCGTGCCCGGTGCTCCCCCTACCGGCCAGCTGCAGGGGAATGCCCGCCGTCTAGGACCGCCCCCACATGGGCTCCAAGAGGTGTTGAGCGTGCAGTGGGGGCCTCCGTCTTCTGGCCGGGCGGCTGCCCACTGTCCCCTCCGGGACGTGCCCGAGTGCCCGCTGCCTCTCTGGGTCCCCTGGGGAAGCACTCGGGGCTGGGTGCCACCACCCCCCCGGGACCTGCTGATGTGCCCTGCCCGCCCTCTTCCGCAGCGTGCGATGTGGGGGAGGACTCGCAGCGGCCCGCCTGGCTGCTGTCCGCGCTGGCCTTGCTGGCCACCCTGCTGGTGCTGGGGCTCGTGATCGCGCTGTGTGGAAGGTAAGTGCCACCCCTGCCCCCGCTGGCCTCCTCCCTGCAGGGTGCTCCTCCTGTCCCCACCCTCCCGCCACCGCTTGCGGGACACCTCCAGGGATCCGCCGGTTGCCTCACGTGTCCCCAGGGTCCTTCTGAGACTTGACCTTGCTCTGCTGTCTGCCGCCCTGAAAATCCAGAAGGTCCCTCCCTCTTAGCTCGAGCCCGGGGTGCAGCCAGGCTCGCCTGCGTGTCCCCACGTGTCCCTGCTGCTCAGCCACTCACCCTCGTGCAGACTCCCCAAGTCTCCACATCCTTGGGCCGGGGTCACTGGGAGTTGCCCTCCCCCTCCTCCTTCCCCTCCCCCTTCCCCTCTCTGTCCTCCTCCCTCTCTCCAGTAGGCAACAGGACAGCGACAGGGTCATGCTGACCTTGCCCATCTGATAGCAAGTCCTGCCCTTGGGGTGTCTCCCAAATGCCTCAGTGCAGAGCCCAGCCAGGTCCTGCCCAGCCAGGTCCTGCCCAGTGGGCCTTGGGGTCTGTCCCTGCGGGCTCAGGCCTCTATCTGGCTGCACCCACGCCCCTCCCAGCGCCTTCAGGCTGAGCCACCCTGCCCAGGAGCTCGGCCTTGGGCATGCTTGGGCCTGTGGCTCAGGTAGGGGACCCTGGTCTGTAAGCCGTGGGGAGCGGCAGGGTCCGCGGTGGGTGCCAGGAGCCTGGGGGCCGCCTCCAGCCTGGCTGGGGCCTGTGGCAGGAGCCCGGGTGGGGTGCACGGGTCCCAGCAGCAGATGCCGGGCTCTGCCCCTGCCTGCCAGGATTGCTTGGGGCTGTAGGGCTGGGCGCCAGGGGCCAGCCGAGGAGACCGGCTCCCCACCCCCACCCGGGGAGTGAGCTGGAGCTGTAATTCCATTCCGGCGTCCCCAAGTTCTGGATCCAGAGCCTGTGTCTCTGTCCTCCGAGGTACTCAGTGTTGCAGAAGCTCTTTCCTCCCATCCCGCACATGAAAGACCCCATCACTGACAACCTTCAGAGCAGCAAGCTGGTACGTCCGGGCCCTTGCTGGGGGTGGGGCTGGGATGGGGCGGTCTGGGCTCTTGCTAGGGGGTGGGGCTGGGACGCCGAGGCCACAGCCCCGCCGGGGGAGCAGGATGCTTGTGTGTGGGTCCTGGCGGGAGGCAGGGGAAGCTGCGGGGTGACGTCATGTCAGGAGCTGCAGGGTCACCCCCAAGTGGTCCTCCAGGCGCGCAAGGCCTGGAGCCTCTGTGACCCAGGCGCCCAAGACTAGCCACGCCCTTGCACTCTCCCGCAAGTGTGCAGCTCTGCGCTCAGCCTGACCCCCTTGTCGCCTGCAGGTGGCCTGGGAGGGCAGCAGAGCAAGCCGGGAGGACTGCCCGGTGGCGGAGGTGCAGGTTTTGGGGGAGACATGACGAGGGACCTAAGACCTTCTCGGCCTGCCCAGATGCCCACACAGCCTGGCCGCAGTTGGGCCGAGGGCCGACCGGATGGGATGGGGGTAGGGACACCTCGGAGCGTGCTCCATGGAGAGGCCACCAGCAAGGAAGCAGGGCTGTGTCGGGCTCATTCAATAAATCAACGCTGTTTCCACCCAGTGCTTGTACACGGGTGGGGGGGGGATGCCTACGGCCCATCACACCGGACCCTGGGGCCCCGCTCTGGCCTCCCACAACGCCCCCGCCCCACGCCAGGATGCTGCTAACACGTTGGCCAGACAGGCTGGTCCCTGCGGCAGCCGTGCCCGGTTCTTGGAGTTGTCCATGCGTTCCTTCAGGCGGCATCTGGGAAACCCCGGGTCCCCCGCAGGGCGGCGTGAGGGGGGCTGCCCACGGCGTGGACTTCCGACACGGAGCCCCGGACAAGGACGCAGATCCGGACACAGCCTGCCCCCCAGGGGCCAGGGCCTCCCAGGGGTTAGGGCTCCCGGGAAACACCGGCTTGGCCCGCCCATTCACAAGGGGACCTCTAGCCATTTAGAACATTCCATGCACGGCAGCAAGCCAGCACCCCCATCGCCGAACGGGCCGTGCTGAAAACCAGCCCAGCGCCAGTGCAGAAACACTGTACTCACAATCCCTACGGGGCCACCAGCAATGCCAATACTCGGGGACCTGCCAGCTAACAAGGGCACAGCTGCGTAAGTGACCGCACCGTTCTGAACCAGCGAGGATGAACAGGGGACGGAAGGTCTCCAAACCCAGCCATCGACACGGCTGCAGGCGGGAGGCCGCGCCCACACGCTCATTCCCTCAGAACACCAGGGCTCCCATGGGCTGAAGTGGAGGTTCCCAGGGAGACTCCTCTGGAGTTGGGCAGGGTTAACACGGTGCAAGGACGCATGTTTCCCTCCCCTCCCCTCCTAACCTGCCTGGGAGCCCTGGGCAGAGTAGACGACTCCAAGCTCTGAGTCGACCCCGCATAGGGGCAGAAATGTGCGTTTACACCTGCCCATCCTTGAAGAGAAAACCTGCCGTCCATGTGCAGGATGTCCCAGCCCCATAAGGTTCTAGAACCCCCAGTTGGCCTTCCTAGCCCAGGTCACCCAGAACAGGTCAACGCAGAGCCAGGACCCAACATTCAGCCCAGAGTCTCTCCTGCACGGTGCTGCCGTTTGTGCAGAGGCAGCTGCAGAGGACGTGGACCTGTCCCGGGGCCTGCTCCTGTGGATTCTTGCGTAAGAGAGCAGGGCTGATGTTGGTCACAGGATGTGGCTGGGTGGTCTTTCTCCAACAGGAAAGCTAGCTGCGCTGTACTGCTCAGATGGAGGGATGGGGGCCTCAGAAGCTCACAGCAGTTTAAGGAAGGCCTCTTGAAAGACCCACCCCCCCAGAGCAGGGACACTCAGACGCCCCAGGGCTCGCTGCAGTTGGGTTCTCTTTCCCACCCAAGGGTGGTCTCTCCAAGCAGCAAACGAGCCGCCAGTGGGCTGGTCTGAACTTGCCTCCCTACCCTGCAGGGCCTCTGGAGGACATGCCCTGTAGCCTCCCTGGCCGCTCGCGTCTCCCACCCCGCTGCCCACCAGCCCCACCCACAACGCCGCTCAGCTGAAAACAAACCAGCAGTCTGTGTCCCGTTTTTTTATGGTTTTGCAGCAGAATGCCCGACATGAAACATAATTGCAAATATTCGGCTGTGCAAAAGAGAATAGTGCTTAAGTACAAATGTAGACATGATTTTTTTTTCTTAAATAAATACTTAAACACACCTTGGGTCCCACAAGCACCTGCACTCTAAGGTCTGTGCCAGGGAGCTGCTGGCCTGTGGACCCACAAAACCTCGTGATTCCCCTCCCCCCCATAATCAGTACATGGAATCTGGTGCCAATGGTAGATCACAATGAGCCCCCTTTGGAACCTTCCCCAAGCCACTACGTGTGATCTGGCCGGGACAAGGACACTGGAATTTCTCGAAGATCAATGGTCCATAACAGTTAAAAGTATTCTACAAGATTCCCTTGGTCCCCGTGTCTGGAGGAGGAACGTCTAGATGACCTTCTTCAGCTCGTCATACAGGACCAGCACAAACGCGCCCCCCATACCCCTCAGGACGTTGGACCACGCGCCCTTGAAGAAGGCCTTGCCCCCTTCGTCTTTGAAGATCTTCCGCCAGCAATCGACAGTCCCCTTGTACATGATGTCCGCTGCAAGAGAGACAGGAGAGCTCACTGGGAGGTTTTTCTGGGAAGGGGCACAAAGGGAACCCCGAAAAACAGAGCACACGGACACTGCACCGTACTCTCCGGAGGAGCTGTGCTTCTGACCACAGGCACACCAAGAGTCCTGGCTCATGGCCCTTGCCCAGCCCACTGATGTGGGTAGGGGGCGGACAGGGACCATACATGCAGAAACTCACACCCCCCCCTCAGTCACCAAAGAGCACCATCTCCACCCCTGGGATCAAGGCAAGGCCCCTGGCCGTGCTAGAAGACAAGAGCCAAGAAAGGGCAAGACCAAGGGCTTGGGCAGGTACCTGGCCAAGCTGTGGGGGTCTAGAGCAGCCTTGAGAATGTGAACACACTCGTTGACCTGGACGTCCCCCACCCTGTGAAGCCAGCCCACAAAGCCTTGCGCCTAAGCTCGCTAAGTATGTCATCTGCTGGCTCACAGCTCCCGAAGCTGAGGCCAGAGAACCACCCCACTCAGGGAGATCTAGAGCGAGCCACTGTCACCAGGACTGAGACACGATACCTCCTTTGCGCCCCGACTGCATCATCATGCGCCGTCGCACTGTGTCAAAGGGGTAGGAGACCACGCCCGCCACAGCCGTCACGGTCTGCGCGATCATCCAACTCACCACGATGTGGGTGTTCTTGGGGTCCGGGAGCATACCTGCGGGGCCACCGGCCAGTGTTAGGACCTAGCGCTGCACACAGCAGTACAGGAACAGCCCTGCCCACCCCGACTCCACGTGGAGCTCCCCACGCCCAGTACCAGTGGGCCGGCAGACAGACCACCTGCTGGCCAGAGGCCCCGGCTCAGGGCCTGGGAATGGTCTCTCCGTACAGCAGGGGTCAGACCAGCCCTGACAAGTGGGCACACCATACACGAGCACATTCTGCTGCAGACAACCCAACCCCGACGCTAGCAGGCATAGAGCTGCTTCCAGGGTGTGAACAGTGCAAACTAAAGTTCCCGTGAGAGCCCCACCTCCGGCATCTAACCAGAAGACTCTTTTAAAAGAGAACAAGTTAAAATGAGCTCACCTGGCTGCCACCTAAGCCAACACCAACAATACCCTTTAAAAAATAAAGACCCAGGGCGCCTGGGTGGCTCAGTGGGTTAAAGGCTCTGCCTTGACTGGAGTCATGATCCCAGGGTCCTGGGATGGAGCTGCGCAGGCTCTCTGCCCGGTGGGGACCCTGCTCCCCCCCCCCCCCCCCCCATTTTGTGATCTGTCAAATGAATAAATTAAAAAAAAAAAGAATCTTGGAAAAAAAGGACCCAGGCACACAGAAGACAGCCACATGAAAACGGCTGCCCACGGCCCAAGGACACCTCAAGAACGGCAGCAACCCTGTGCACAGCTGGATCTCGCACTCGCGAGCGCCGGGAACCGTGGAACCCCCCGAGGTCCGTGACTGAACCCGCAGCCGTGCGCAGCCCCCCCGCTCGGCAGCCCCAGCGCAAGAACACACTCACCCTTGGCAGTGTCGTACACGCCGAAGTAGGCCGCGCGGTAGATGATGATGCCCTGCACGGACACGTTGAAGCCCTGGTACAGACCCCGGATGCCGTCGGACTTGGTGATCTTCACCAGACAGTCTCCCAGGCCCTTGAACTCCCGCTCGGTGCCGGACTTGCCCACATCGGCAGCCAGACGGGTTCTGGCGAAATCCAGCGGGTAGACGAAGCAGAGCGAGGTGGCTCCAGCAGCGCCGCCCGAGGCCAGGTTCCCGGCGAAGTACCTCCAGAACTGCGTGTGCTTGTCCACGCCGCCCAGGAAGATCTGCTTGTACTTATCCTTGAAGGCGAAGTTGAGAGCTTGCGTGGGGAAGTAGCGGATGACGTTGGCCAAGTTGCCCCTCCAGAAGGACAGCACGCCCTGCTCCTTGGGGATCCGCACGATGCAGTCCACGATGCCCTTGTACTGCTTGTCCGCGGCGATCTGCTTGCTGGCGTGCTGCACCTGCAGGACGGACGGACGGACAGGCTCGCAAGACGGGCTGGGAAAGCGGTTGCAACAATGTTGCTACTGGAAGTTGCAACAATGTTGCCGACGCCGCAAGGGGCCTGCAAGCACGTCCTGGGGGAGCGCGGCGCCGTCTGGTCTGCAGCCGCACGGAACAGAGACAAGACCGGCCGCGGCCACCGGGGAACCCGCGGTCCGTTCGCCGCCCCCACCCCGGGAGGGAGTTTGGGGGCTTCCGACCCGGGCGCACGCGCCCAGGCTCCCTGCTAGCACGAACGGCGCATGCGCACCCGCGGCCCCACCCACGTGATGCGCGGCCGGCCCCGGATCCCGGCGGCGCGCGGACAAAGCGGCGCGGTCCCGCGCTTCCGGTGCACGCGGCCGGCCCGGCCCGCTCAGCCCCCAGCGCCCCTGCAGCTCCCCTCGGCGACCCCGGGCGCCCCCTCCCCGCCCCCGAGCACGCGCGGCCCGCCCCGCACCTGCAGCAGCAGCTTGACACGCTCGATCGGGGCCACGGCCGTCTTGGAGATGGCGGCGGCGATGCCCCCGGCTAGGAAGTCCTTGGCGAAGGAGATGGCCTGCTCCGTCATGGTGGCGGCGCGGCGGGCGGACGGCGCGGTGCGGGCGCGGGGAGCCGGAGGGTGGGCGCCGAGGGCTCAGCGCTGCCGCCGCCGGGACCGAAAAGACGGGGCGGCCAGCGCGCAGCCGCTAAGGGCCCCACGCCCCGCCCCGCGCCCCCGCCCGCCGCGCCCATTGGCTGCGCCGCGCCCCCGCGGGCTGCCGGGAGCCGCGCCGCGCCCCGCCCCGCGTCCGCCAGCGCCGCGCC